AGGCCTAGGCAGGTGACTAAGCCAGTCTGTGAGACACATCAACACTTTCCTTGGAAATGCCGGGACAAAGAAATCACGGTGTTTCACAGTGTATAGCGAGTGTGGTGAGACCCGAGGCTCTCAGGGTCATGTTATGATCCCATGGTCTAGGTGGGGTTGTAATTCAGTCACCATAGAGAAGTGGGCAGCTGAGAGATGGAGGTAGGGGATACAGAAAGGCAAGAACTTCAGTTATGTGAGCCAATAAATAAATCTTTGCCTGAGATTTTTGTGGGGTGAGATTTTCAGTCACTTGCTATGTAACCAAATACCACAAATTTAATTATCTCAGTTTTTGTGGTGCTGGTATCCAAATGTGGGCCAGCCAGGACCTTTACTCAGGGCCTCACCAGGCTAAAATCAAGTTGTCAGCCAAGGCTGTGGTCTCAAGCGAGGCTCCATGCCCTCTTCCAAGCTTACTGTTGACCATGTTCAGTTTCTTTTGTTGTAGGACTGACATCCTAGAGGCCACCGCTGTTTCCTGCCATGTGGCCTTCTCCACATGGAGGTTCACTTCTTGAAGGCCAACAGGAGAATGCTGTTTTAAATGTCTCCTTCAGGTCCCCATTATCAAGGTGGGGAGAGTCAGGTTCTTGGACAGCTGGAGGCAGTGGTGGTGACTGGCGGAACTACGAAAGCGAAGATATTTTGCGTCTGCCCTCGCCTCTAGAAATGGCCAAAATGTGCTCTGTAACAGAGCCAGATTGGTTTCCTATCTCCCAGGATTTTATTCTTTAGTTAAAAGGGTTGTCAATCCCAAAGCCTTTTCAACCGCTGGATCTTTAGGTTCTGATGAGTCTCATGTGGCCACTGCACCTCCTGATACATGCTCTCGAACAATATGGCCTGATGAAGTTATGGGACCATTTGGGCCTCAGGGTCAGAGATTCCAACTTCCTGGGAACATAGGTTTTGATTGTGACCTCAATGGGACCATGTCACAGAAGAAAAGCCAGGTTCATAAAACTTTACCTGACATTCTTGGAGAACCTTTATCAAGTGAAAGACACGAGTTTGTGATGACACAATATGTGAATGAATTTCAGGGTAATGATGCACCTGTTGAACAAGAAGTTAACAGTGCAGAAAATGTACTTTGAAAGTGCCAAAGTAAAGTGTGTAATCCAAACATGTCCAGAATTGCTGCGAAGAGATTTTCAGTCGCTGTTTCCAGAAGTGACCACCAACAAACTAATGATTCTGACTGTAACACAGAAAACTAAGAATGATAGGACTATTTGGAGTGAGGAGGTAGAAAATGAAAGAGAAATACTCTTATAAAAGTTCATCAGTGGTGCTAAGGAAATATGCTACGCTCTTCGAGCCGAAGGCTATTGGGCTGACTTTATTGACCCACTATCTGGTTTGGCATTTTTTGGACCATATACAAACAACATTCTTTTTGAAACAGATGAACGCTATCAACATTTAGGATTCTCTGTTGATGATCTTGGCTGCTGAAAAGTGATTCATCATAATCTCTGGAGTACCCATGTGGTTGTAGGAAGTATCTTTATGAATGCAACACCAGACAGCCATATTATGAAGAAATTAAGTGGAAACTAGTAGTAATGTCAATTTGTTTGCTGTACTATTTGTACTTAACATTTAGGTTGATCTATAAACACTGTCAAAGGCTTCAGTTTTTAAACTTTACTTATTTCTAGGGTATTTATTTCAACGTTTATGAATTTACGTTGACAGGAGTTTGTGATTTTTTAAAACTCAAAAGTTCATATCGTCAGTGAATACATGTTAAGCACATCTAAAGTGAACAGAATGTGGTAATTAACATGTAACCATGGTATGATTTCCTATTGTTATTTCTCCCCTGTAATGAAAAACCTTAGTTTTAATTATTTTTCTCCAAAAATAAATTATACGTTTGCTTAAAAAATAAATAAATAAATAAATAAATAAATAGTCTTCTTCAGAGAAGACCTGCAACTTCTTTTAAAGGAGTCACCTGATTAGGACTCTCCCCAAGTCAAGCTCCCTTTTGGCTACAAAGTCAACTGGTTAGGGACCTTCATTACATCTGCCGGATTCCCTCATGTTTACCTTACAACATCACCTAATCACAAGAGTGAAGTCGCATCATGTTCACAAGCGCTGCCCACACTCACAGGGAAGGGATTATGCAGGCATGTACACTGGGATTTTCCATGTTCTTTCAGATTTACAGGTTGTCCCGTCTCACTGTTTGCTCACTTGGCCTTACTTGTCTCCTCCATTAGAAACTGAGCCATTCGACACGTGTCACTACATCCCAGCTCACAGCCTGGCACAGGTTCGGTGCTCTGTAAACATTTGTTGTACGGGTAAGTAGGGGAGATTCTTATATTGGAAATGAGGATTAATCTAGATGACATCAAAGGCCACGTTCAGTGCTAAAAATTCTTTAATTCCACCCTGCTAACTCCACCCGGTCCAAACTCCTGAGAGGTCCTGCCTGACCTGCCCTTGCATACTTCTCTGTCCTCACTAGTGTCAAAGTTCCACTTTCTCTTTCATACTTTGCTAAAAGAATACTAAAGCACTTAGTTTTTAGACTGACTTGCTTTCTCCTAGCTTCTTGATAGTGCCTATGCTATTTTCTCAGCCTAGAATGCTCTTCCCCCTACCAACTGACTTACACTACTCATCCCTCTGCATAAGCTTAGAAATCACTACCCCAGGACATTTTTCTTTATCACCCTTTTACTTCTAAGTGTGGTTTGGGCTTCTAGAACCTTCTAAACTTCTTTCCCATTTCCTAGGACTTGTCATCTCTTGTAAGTTGAAGAGTCCATCTCCCTACCACCCTGAGAGAACAGAAAATAAAACTTCATTATGTTGGGTCCCAGCACTGGCCTGGTCTGGTTTAGGTTCATGAATATTTGTTAAGCAAACAAGTAAGTTCGGTGATATACCTGTTTGTATTTTGGCGTCTTCCAAGATACTCACGCCTCCTGGTTCCTGGGCCCCCTGAAAGACCAGCCCAGCAGGGTGTGGTTCAACTACAGGCTCCAAACTCATGCAACAGGGCAACAGCCATGACCATCACAATGCTTGAATCATAGGCTTGTTTTCTATTGACCCAAGAAGGCTTTTTAAAAAATTCTCATCTGCCACCAGAACTCCTTTCAACGAGAGTAGGCACGAGGAATTATGAGGCAAAATGACTGGCATTCCCGATGAACTGCGATTAAACAATGTGCTGCCCGGAAGATGGGGTATGAGCCTGGGACAGGAACTGGTTATCTCCACGGGACACCTAGTTTGTCTTGCCGAGCACTTGGCAGAAGCTTGAGCCTCTCCCTTTCCCCAGCCACCTTCTTGTCTTACAGAGGATGAGAGCTGGCCCAAGCCTCCTTAGCCCTAGAATTGTGATGGTGGGGAGGGGAGTGCGTCACTGTCCCATCACTACCACCGCAAGAATCCACCCGCCAGCATGGTAATGAGGGAATAAATTACCCTAAATTGCTTGAGTCTATTACTCCCAAACTTGGGATGACAAATCTTCAGAGCAATAAGCATCTTTTAACCTCAACTATGATTTAGAATAAAGACTAGAAATGTTTTAAACTCACAGTGCTAATGTTTTTGCATTAAGCAATCCATGGAAATGTGATGGTTGAAATTCTTATAATATTTAAGATAATTTTGTGAATTCTAACAGATCGTTGTAACAGATTACAAATGTGTATTTGGACAACAGATTTGACTTGTGAATAGGTTCCGCTTAGAAGGCTTATTAAATTTGTATTGACACATTTAAAAGAGCTCATGACTCAACATATTTATAAGTTATTTATTTACAAGAATTACATAAGGACTCAAAGGCATTGTTAGAAAGTTGCAATACTTAAAAGATGAAAGTGAATGATTAAATTTATAAATACAATTTCAAATCTTCAATGGAACTTTTACTTAACCAAATTTATTCATGGGACCAAAGAAATGGTTAAAATTTTCTGGATTTATGAATGGAATTGTAAAATGTGTCAGTTGAAATTAAGAAAACTCCATTTGGGGATTTCTAATTTTAATAAATTGAATATTAGTTTAAAAAATCAAATTAACCTCAAAGTAATCTTTTCTGTTCATGAAAGCTACCCAGAGAAACTTTTTAAAAAGGACTTACACTTTCATGGTAGATAGACCACGGAACTTGGATTTAACAGGATGGGCAGGATGAGACCAAGAGGGGCCAGGAGTAAACCAAGTGGGCTGGAGGTTTGGGGAGAATAAAGAACTGTTTTGGTGGGGGTCATCCACCAACCAAAATCATGGGAACTCGAGGGGAGTGGGGCAGTTTCCGGCCACAACAATAAGGGGGTGACGGAGAGAATGGGTGGCCAACTGGAGAGAAAGGAGTCATTAGAGATGAGAAGGTGGTTAAAAACCTGTTAAGACAGATGCTCACTTTGAATGAGTGGCCAGTTTTGTATAACTGAAAGGGGCACTGGTCACATAATCATCTATATGAACGGTGCTTCCTGGCGTTGTGCAGTGAACTGCGGAACCATGTACAATGGTTCTGATAAAACCCTTAAGTCGCCAAGTATGACAGGAGTATGTGAGGAGAGGTGGGACAGGAGGCAAAATCCTTGGAAAGCAAAACACTGGCTTCTAATTGCTGAGCAGTTACTATATGTTTAATAGTATTCTAAGCACTTTCCCAAGAACTCTGAGTCCAGTACTTTTCTTATTAATCAATATTCTTTACAAATAAGAAAAATGGTAAGTTATAAAAAAGAAATGACAAAATCTGGTGCAGAACACACTTGTTCAAGAGTGCCCGGCTCCACCCTTCAGGTGGAACTCTCCCTGACGCACTACCTGCACTTTCTCTCTCGGTTTAGGGTACCTGCCCGTGTGCCCCGGTGACGGCTGCCGGCTCCAGCGTAGAGAACGGTCACGTGCCGGCGCGGGGGCGGAGCCCGTGCGAGGATGCCTACGCGCCTGCGCGCAGCTGGCTACCGAGCCGAGCCTGCGGGGCGGGGCGGGCTCTGGCTGCCGCGCCGGCGGCCCGGTCTCTTCTCGGCTCAACCACCGGCCGGGGCTCGGGCCTGGGCCCGGGCCCCCGGGACATGGCCTCCGGGAGTGCGGAGGGCGACAGCCCCACCTCAAGTCGCTGTGACAGCGGCGCGAAGAAGGCAGGTACGGAATCCGACCAGGGTGTCGAGGAGTGGCCTGCGAGGGCGGCCTGAGCGACAGGGGCGACCCTAGGAGCTGGGGACAGCTGTCGAAGGAGCGGGCCCCGGCGCAAGGGGCTCCCGACAGGCCGCGTAGGATGTGCCCAGGGCCCCGAACAGGGGTCAGGATGTGTGAGAGAGGAAAAGGCTGAAGGGAAACAGAGCCTGGAAGCGGGGGCGTCCACGGATGCTGATGAGACCCGAGAAACCGTGGTGGCAGAGCCACGTCCCCAGTGAGAAGGAAGGGGCGGGGACTCTGCACCCTACCTTGTCACATCTGAAAGGGAGAATTTGGTCTCTGGGAGCTGAGGCCGGGCCTCACCTCCGTCCTGAGACTGTCCGGCCCCGTCCGCAGACTCCTCGTGCCGCCTCCCTAGTTGTAAGGCAGGTTCCCAAACTTCATTCATCTGTCGCGGTCTTGATTTGCATAGGTAGTATGCATGACCACCTATTTCTTTTAATTACCATAAAGTCGAACCCTTTTAAAGTGTACGGTTCAGTGGTTCTTGGTACTTCCACAGGGTTGTGCAATCATCACCCCTGTTTAATTCCAGAACATTAATATTCCAAAAAGAAAGCCCATCACTCTGCACTCCCCGGTCTCCACAGCTCCTGGCAAACACTAATCTACTTTATGTCTCATTCCTGTTCCACCTATTTGAATGTTATTTAATTGTGAACAAAGGAATTTTCTGTTTTTTATATCGTTTAATAAGTGTTTCATACAATTCTGTGAAATCATAGTTTTGTTGTGTGCTGTTTTCAAATATGTTTTACATATCATTAAGACATGACAGTTAAAATTAATAATGTTTACTCTGCACCAAGTAAAATAATCTTTTTTCCTCTGAGAAGGCTAACGTAGCTTTCCCACTTTTCCATCCTCTGATGGGTGGTATCCATAATATTGTAGAACTATATAACATGTTCAGCTCACATATTTTGATGAAGCACCTGATATCCACTGGGCTCATTTTCTGTTATCTCCCTTTCTCCTATTCTAGTCCTGGAGGGAAGTGCAGCTCACTCATCATGTTACTTCCCTGAGCCCTTTGACTTTGTGACCCTTTGCTGGTGTTTGTATGACATCTTTCTTCATGGAATAATAATAGTCAATGCCCCAAGTGGTACAGGTCTTGTGACCTGTTGTAGTGCAACTGTGCCTAGGTGTTGAGACTTTACCTCCCATTTTCCTTGATTTTACTACCCTGGATGAATAGGAGGAACTTAGAAATCAGACTATTTTTAGAGAATTGACAAAGTTACTACCACTAGAAGCTCTCCTTTGTAGAGTTCATGATCCGATTGGTTTACTCTCTATAATATTTTTCTGCATTGTTAGAGTAAAGCAGTCTTTCTTAATACGTGCTTGGTTCTTGTCTTTATGTTTCATGTAACAAATCTCTGCTAACTCTGGTACTGTTCGTTGAAACTAAATAGGACCTTCAAAAACAGAGGCTACTTTGTCTAATTTTGTTTTTAATGGGAACCTTACTCAGGAAAAGGTAAGGCTGTTCCCCTCCTACTGTCTTTCTCTGGTATAGATACTAAGTTCAAGCATTAAAAAAAATTTTTTTTAATCCTTACTTGAGGATGTGTTTATTGATTTTAGAAAGAGAGGAAGGGAGAAAGAGAGAATCATCGCTGTGAGAGAGGAACATTGATTGGTTGCCTCTCGTACACGCCCCGACTGGGGATCGAACCCACAACCTAGGCATGTGCCCTAACCAGGAATTGAAATTATGATCTTTTGGTGTATGCGACAACACTCTAACCAGCTGAGCCCCTAACCAGGGCTCAAGGACAAAATTTCAAGATAATTTTCAGTATCAACATTAGGAGTTCGAGGGGTGGGACAGAGTGGTGACTGTCGGAGGGAATCTCTCCCTTTCTCTCTCTCTCTCTCTCCCTCTGACTGCCTCTTCCATTGTTTTCATTAAAGCTAGCATTACTTAGTTTGAGTTTAACTTTTATTTAAAGGCTACAAAGCTTTCTTGATATGCAAGCTTAAACCAAGTAATAAGTGTGGAATTTTGTACTCTCACATAAGATTCCATTATTAAGTACTCATATGTAGATCTTTTACCTACTGTAAGTCATTAATATATATTTTGCTGATATGGAGAAACTTTTAGAGGAAGCATAGGTAGAGTTCATCTTTAGTCATTGTCTCATATATAGTATGTATCTGTTTCCCCAAACCAGGGGCTTTTAGAGATACCTGATGCTCTGAGCAAGTAGAAATCTTTACCTGGGTTCTGCAGCCAGAGTTGGGAAAGGTTTGAGACAATAACGGGCTCAGCCATCTTTACCTGAATTCTTAAGAAATGCTGCTTCAGTGCCCCTTATTAAAATGATCGTTTTAATGGAGAGCAGGCCAAGTAGTGCCTGTATCATTTTTTTCCTGTGGTGAATGAATTGCTTTTCAGGCATCAGGGATTTATTTATAGCAGCGTCTTATGTTTTGCAGCCAGCTGTAGGATAATCATTTCATTTTGTCGTGGTTATGATAGCCAAGACCTCTTCCTGTTAAAGGCATTTGGGAGGTATCAACTTTGGGATATGTAATACATCTCTTTTATAAGTGAGGCAAAAAGAAATTGGAGAAGAAATGATTCAGGGGGATTGACATTACATATATGCTGCCTCCCGATGAAATGGGGGCTTCTACCCCAAGCCCAAAGATAACATTCGCAAGCCCAGAAGTGTGTGTCCCACCCTAAAATCCATATATAAAATTGATCTTAAAACAGGGTAGTTAGTATTAATTTTAATATTTTCCTGAGTATCCCAGAAATAGCTCTATGATTTTTCTCTGAGGTGAAGAGGAAATGTGTAAATTAGTTTCAGCTGAGACTTCGCTAACATTTTTCTTCCTCATTGCGTAATCTAGCTGTTGACCTTATCATTCTGTAATTTATATATCTCTAGCTCACTTGAGTTTTCTGTTTTCTCCTCCCTTTTTATGTCACAACGAGAGCTTATATGTTAGGTGTAATAAATATTTGTGTACGGGGGGGTGGCATGCTTAGGAGTGCCTTCCTCATCTGCGATTAATACTTAATCACTCGAATGTGGGATTGATGAAGGTGATATTGGGGCCTGAACACATGGCAGCTAAAATTCCCATTTGAGCAGCATCCTCCTCTGGGAAGTAGCAGTACCTTTAGAAAAAGGCCAAAGAATCTACAAATCTATAGACATACCACACAGTGTTTTGGTTAGTAACAGACCACATATATGAAGGTGGTATACGACATAGTCTAGGTGTGTAGTGGGCTATACCACCTAGGTTTGTGTAAGTGTACTCTGTGATACTCGCACAACAACGAAATTGCCTGACAACACACTTCTCAGAACATATCCCTGTTGTTAAGCAGTGCAGGACTCTGTTTAGAGTTGCACAGTGGGTATGTTCTTAACAGTAGTATGGGGAGAATAATGTCGTTTATTACAGGCCACTGTTTCCAAAGGAACAACAGCTAAGCTAATTTTTTAATTCTTTTCTGTATATATTTAATGCATTCCCACAGAGCACTGAAAACAGAAGATAGTAGTAAATTTCAAAATGCAGGATTAAAAATAGAATTGGAACAGAGTGTTAAGAGAACTAAGTACTGGAACTGTGGTTTGGGTTCAGAATGAGTAAAAATTCTGGCAGATTATTTACCAGAACCTAGTGGAAATCCAGCTGATTGCAAGCAGTGTTATTTTCTCCAGGATACAAGCACTGGTTTTTCTTTCCCCTAGATTGCTGAATAGCTTACTTGGAAGGAGCGGCAGGGTAGATATATATCTAAAGAAATAGAGAAAATTTTTCCACACTCTTAGTAGGTAGATTAACAGGGCTTCTAAACACCAGCTTACCTCAAGCAGTGTTCATATTACCATTTAAGTGTTCTTAATTTGGGATGTGTAGAAAATATAAGGAAACTCTAAGGAAAAAAAAATTACAGGTTATCTGGTACTTTATATTCATTATTGGAAATTAATCAATTCCTGCTCATATTGTGTCCCAGTCTTCTGAGGCAGAAGTCTTCTCTGTATCCTGTGTGTCTGCAATCCCTCTTTGAAAACATATACCCTTCTCTTCCAAAGTGTGGTCCTTTGACCCAAAGTAAAATCCCTCCCTGTCTTCCCTTGACTGTAGAATAAAGCCCAGACTCTCCATAAGCTACGTTTACTGCAGTCCTTCAAGCCTCTGTCCTCTCCCTTTACCTCACACATCAGCTTCACAGAATTATTTCTGTGTTTTCTGGACACGATGTTTCTTTCGTGTGACGAGGTCTTTGCACACACTCTTTTGTCTCCCCGGAATGCCTTCTCTTCAACCAGTCTCCCGTGTGCAAAGTTTTCTTAAAGAATGTACCAGAGTAGAGTCTTGGTGAAGCCTTTCCCGAGTGCATGAGGAGCAGTCATTCTTTTGTCTGGAGTTTCATAATTCTTCATGACTCTGTTATATCATGAATAATAATGGTTTGTGTCCCTCCCTACTGGGAGAGCCTCTCAAAGGCTGGGAGGAAGTCACATTAATCTTTTATTTTTATTTTTATTTTTATTTTTATTTTTATTTTTAAGAGAGAGGGAAAGGGAGGGAGAAGGAGAGGGAAGGAAATATCAATTATTGCCTCTTGTAGGCTCCCCTATGAGGACCCAACCCGCAACCCATGCATGTGCGCTGACCAGGAATTGAACTGGTGACCTTTCTCTTTGCAGGACAACGCCCAACCAACTGAGCCACACTACTCCGAGCTCAAATTAATCTTTTTTCCTTTGTACAGTGCTATCTACAAGTAGATGTTCATTAAATAATGGACTGATAAATGAATGCATAGACTAATGGACAAGTGGATAGATGGACAGATAGATGATGGACAGACAGATGGACACACTCAAGCCAGGAGCTTGACGTACCTTGTAAACAAACATTTAACTGGTTAGGTGTTGCACTGTTAGAGGAAATTGAAGCTTAATTTTATGATTTCTAGGTAGAGTAACCATTTAATTTCGCATCTGAGCTGGGACATACTTGAAAGTACAAGTCACAGGAGGGGTTTGCTGTGAACAGTTATGCCAGGATTGTAGGCATGAACCAGGAATCTCTCAAACGGAAAGAGACGGTCAGTCTACTAGGTTACCAAGGAAAAAACAGAATAGACAGGAAAACAGGTTTACTTAGGTTAAAAGTCACCTATGTTATTTCTCTCTCTGCACCTCCCATTGCATGTGACTCCAAACCAGCTAATTTATATATCACAGCTCCCATAGGTAGGTAACCAGGAAGATTAGTACCAACTTTCATTTGTATTAATAATGTACAGCTTTGTCATGGAAACAGTTTGTATATTGTTGTCCCAGAATAGGAAATTATTGAGGAAAGCTGCTTAGTGTCCCTTCTAAACCTAATCTACTTTTCAGTATTTGTCTTCTCTAAAGCCTAACCTACCTTCTAATGTCATCTTCTACCATATGTAACCCCAGTGCTTGACACCTAGTATATGCTACATAAATATTTTGAATGAGTCTGTTTACTGTTAAATGAAAGGGCCTTGTGTTTCCTGTCTCTGTGTTTTTTCTCTCTCCCTTCCCAGCCTCTTAAAATCCTCCTTTTCCTTTTTAAACTTCTCAGATCAGTCTGACCCATGATGTTCTCTGAGCTCCTGGTGTCTGCGCATTCCTTTTTTTGGAAAGTATCAGGCACTCCTTTGTGACATCTCTTTTACGGTGTCTTGTTTTACTTTTTTTGTGTTTGCCATTCCCAAAATTAGATATTCTGCATGAAAACTGTAAGAACCTGTTACTTTATTTTAAATAGAAAAAATAGGATAAACATCAACCAGAAGCTCTTGGTTTTCCTAAAAAGTATTTTAAACACAGTAAAATGCAGTATTTTACTGTAAAAACAGTAAAAACACAGTATTTATGTGTATAAATAACAAACTATCATGTACAGATGTAAGATGCTTAAAACATTACTTCCTGATCACAGTAATTAATATAGTTTTTAAGAAACAGTTGCTTTGTGTGTAGTATCATGCCTCCTTTACCATCCACACTAGAGACCCAAATGTACCCTTTTACATTCTGATTTTGAAAATATTTCTGTGATTCTGATGTTTTACCAATAATTGGGAACTTTTGTGGTTTTTTTTTTAAAAATGTAGTATTGAATTTTGGTGGCGTACATATACATTTTTCCTCTATAAACTACAGAAAAAATTATTATATTAGAGAGATATATGTGCTTTAAAGCTTGATATTAAGAAAGAAGAGGCATTCTATTAGGAAAACATCAACGGTAACTGTTAGATATGACTGAATTTACTGAGCATTTATTATAATTATAATTCCTTGCTGGTTACTTACATGATATATCTCCTTACTGTTTTGCACGTTATGTGCTAATTAAATATCTGTAGGTTGGCTTTAAATATACCTACCTGTGTCTCAGACCAAATTATGAGATTGAGCCCTGAAGAAAATGTGCACATGCTGAATATGCGCCTAATGCACCCACACCCGCATTTTTTTTTTGTTTTGTTTTTGTTTGCTTGTTTTTGCAGGCTTTAACGCCAAAAGGGAAAAGAAAGTGGCAGAGATATACCAGGCTCTGAACAGCGATCCCCCTGATGTGGCTGCCCTGAGACGCATGGCTATTAGCGAAGGAGGGCTCCTGACCGATGAGATCAGACGAAAAGTGTGGCCCAAGCTCCTCAATATCAACACCAATGACCCACCTCCTATACCAGGTAAGGGGGTGGGGGGATCCTGTGAGGGGAGCTTATTTAGGAGGCAAGGGAAACAGAATTCCAGGATCTTTGATTTTTATGCTAATGTCAGACCAAGAGGAGATGAGTGAATCCGAAGCATTTTAGGGTATGATTGGGTCAACTGTGACTATAAGGCCAAACTAATAAGTAGAAGTTTATTCAAAAATGGAATAAGCTTTTATTAGGTAGGTGTGCAGGGAGCTGTTATTGGCTGGGTAGGAGAGTTTATTAAACATGCCTGTTCCAGTCTGTATTCACTTAGAGGAATCTGTATTTTAACAAGCACTCCACCTGATTCTGATGTAGATGAACTACATTTTGAGAAACATTAAGCCGGGGGAGAAGGAATATTTTTTTTAAAAACATAAAATAACTTTTTTATTGGGAGATACTGTGGTCGTTTTGAATTCTAAAATTCTGTAATTCTGTGAAAAGCTGTTACCGAACTAACCTGCAAGGCCGCTGTAGTAAAAGGAGCTCCTTGGAATTCAGAGCAGAGTACCGATGAAAGCGCTACCGAGCAGGGAGCACACTTGGCCACTCGTTCACTCGACAGACATTGATTGCTTTTCTGCCATGTGGGGCAAAAGTCCAACTGCTAGGGACTCTTTTGCTCATTTGGTAGATAGTAGTTGTGTTCCTGTGGTGTGCCGGATGCTGGAGATGATTAAAGCGGCCTCCGCCAATGAAAGTTCACAGTGTCATAGTGCAGCCTGGCAGGTGCTAAGTTACCACTTGTTATTGTCTTTGAATTGGGTTGCCTCAGAGCAGTCAACTTTTTGGTGGAAGGATAAGGCGTTGCCATGCTGACGCTCTGCATCCTGAGATGATGTGCTCCTATCAGGGTCCAGATTTCCCATATCTTTATAAACTGAAACCTGTGTGGGGATGTTCTGCACAGTCTCCTCTGGTACCTTTTGATTTTGGTCTGTGAAAGAAATGTAGATTTGTTATACAATACTCAGTTTGGGTTGAGGGAAATATATACTTGTTTTAGATATATACACGCATGTGTAGTATGTACATATTATTATAAAATACAGTAGCTAGAGACTGCCTCTTTACTTTTACACTGTATCGGGCTTATCACCTGAATACAAGTACTGCTTCCTATTCGCACTCTAGTTTTAGAATTTCTGGGTCAAGAGAGTTAGGTCCTGGCTGGTGTGGTTCAGTGGATTGAATGCTGGCCTGTGAATCGAAATGTCACTGGTTTGATTCCCAGTCAGGGCACATGCCTGGGTTGCGGGCCAGGTCCCCAGTTGGAGGCATGTGTATCTCTCACACATTGATGTTTCTTTCCCTCTTTCTCCCTCCTTTCCCCTCTCTCTAAAAGTAAATAAATCTAAAAAAAGAGAGAGACATTAGGTTCTTCTTTATGTGAATTTATCTTAATACTCCTTTCTGAACAGCTCAGTGCTCCGTAGACTTTATAAATGTTAGAGTTTTGTTCAGTGGTCTATGGTTTCTGATCTTATTTATGATTTTATTTGATCCTTACAGAAACTGGAGAGGTCTATTATGGAAGGGAATATTGCCATTTTACAGATGTGGACTTTGGGATTCAGAGCAATTATCTGGTGATGCCACAGGGGGCCCCTGGCCTCTTTGATGTTTACAGTAACCTGAGAGTTCCATTAAGGAAGGGAATAGTGCCATTTGTTTTTCCACCCTCACCTGAGGACATGCTTATTAATTTTAGAGAGAAGGGAAGGGAGTCAGAGAGAGAGGGAGAGAAACACCAATGTGAGAGAGAAACATTGATCAGTTACCTTTCACACGCTCACACCCACCGCCACCGGTGACTGAACCCACAACCCAGGCATGTGCCCTGACTGGGAATCGAGCCTGTGACCCTTTGAGTTACAGGATGATGCTTCAGCCAACTGAGCCACACTGGCCAGGTTGGAAATATTGCGGTTTTACAGATGCGGACTTTGAAATTCAGAGCAGTTACCCAATGATGCCGTGGGAGGCCCCTGGCCTCTTCACTTCTCCTCTGCTGCTCTTTCCACCTGATTCTGTGAACCTTCTGGGCATTGCAACCCCTCCTCTTACAGTCATCAGGACTTGCATCAAACGTGTTTAGAAATAAATTCGGGGTTCCTCTCCACATGTTGTATTTTGAGTCATATTGTCTTCAGGAAAACATGGGAATATGTCCTCCTTGGCTTTGGTCTAATACCAGAATGTTTTACTCCTGATCTGGCTTCCCTGACATTCCTACAATGACATGTTCCTTTTCCTCCAATAGGGAAAAACCTACGACAGATGAGCAAGGACTACCAACAAGTGCTTTTGGACGTCCGGCGGTCCTTACGGCGGTTTCCTCCTGGTGAGGAGCTCTCTGTCTTATTTCACGGAGGTTTCTGTCCCAGTTGCCCTTACTTTCCTGTGTCGATGCTTGCCAGGCCCGGGGCGTTTCCACTTCAGCACGCACTGGGACCAGACGTGAGCTCCCAGTCTGCTGAGTCATTCTTTCATGTGCTCTGTCACTCTCAGGCCCCCGCTGAGAGCCTCAGCCAAAGGGAATTTCCCTTGGCCTAGAAGGGGTAAATGGAAGACCAGGTTGTTCCCTGCTCTCAGAGCCACAGAAGAGAGTAGGAATTGCTAGAACCATCAGTCTGGCTTTAAAGAGCAGGTTGGTTTAGAAGTGGACACTAACAAGAACTATTAATACCGTCTTTGATTAGGTTTATAAATAGTGATATCTTGCATACACATATGTTGAATTCCTTGGACTAGAAGGGAGGCCATTCCCTCATGTTTGGAGTCCATTTCTAAAAGGGCTCTCCCATTCCAGGGAGAATGAGGAGAATGACCATCGTCTCCATTTTCACAATGAAGGAAATTGGGTACCAAACTTCGTATTTATGATCTATTTCTCTTCCATTGGCAACTCTGCCTTTAGGAACATAAAGAGAAGAGAATTGCCAAAGGGAACGAGACCCTTTGAACCAGTGATTTGATTTTAAATTGGTGTGCTGCAAGAATTTTTAAGGGGCTCGGACTGGAGCAGGGGTGAGGGGGGCAGAGCGCTTCTGGCGGGGGGCTCAGCACAGCCCCCGCGATGCCAGTGTGGGCAGCCCGTGAGGCCTGGGAGTGGGGCAGGGAAGGTGGGCAGTATGTAGCAGGGACCAGGGGGTGGCAGAGCGGCCACCGCGAGGTTGCGGTAGTGTGTTCGCCAAGGATTCCTACCCTTTGAGGTATGTCCCCACCATGAGCTTTGAGACGGACAAGTGCCGCATTGAGCCTAAACACGTGGGACACTTTAAATTCCTCTTAACTGTGGTAACATCTGGCCCCTGACCTATCATGATTCAGACACTGTGTTCATCTACTTTAACATTAGCAGACCAGAAACACTGCAGTGTCCTCAAGAAGAGGCGAGGAGAGAAAAGACTCAGGAGTTTTGCCCCAATGCCAAGGTTGTGCTGGTTGGCTGTAAACTGGACATGCAGGCTGACCTGGCCACACGGAGGGGGCTGTGCAAGCAGGGGCTTATCCCTGTTACGCCTAAGCAGGGCACTGTGCTGGCCAAGCAGGTGGGGGCCGTGTCCTATGTGGAGCGATCTTCCTGGTCCTCTGAGCACAGTGTCACGGATGTCTTCCATGTGGCCACAGTGGCCTCCCTGGTTCGTGGCCATAGGTAGTTGCCCTGTTCTGACCCAACACCAAGGACTGCAGTGATCCACTCCGCTGGCAGACAGCCAGACCAGAGGAACAGGGCGAAGGCGAGATAGACAAGGATTGAGCCAAGAGTTGCCAGCTCATGTGAAGAGCCAGGGAGGGGCAGAGTGTCAGGAGGGGTGGTGAAGGGCACAATTGTTTTCCTGCCTGCACCCTGGCTTCCTGACCTCCTGACTCTGGCTGGGACTTCAGGGCAGGCTGAGTGAGCAGTTCTCCTAGGCAAGGGACCTGGAGGCGGCGGGTGCCACCGTTCTCCACATCCTCATCCCCCTCCTCTGCATGGGAAGCTGATGGAGCTAGTAGAGCAGGCATCTGGGCCAGGAGCTAGGATCGGGGGCCGAGGAGGGTGGGAAAGCTGGCATCAAGCAATGACCTTGGTTGAGTCTCAGAATATGAAGGGTGCCTTCCCTCCCCACCCCCCAGTGCCCATATCCTGGCCCTGGCGTCCATTCCATGACCTTCCCTTTTCCTCTCACTTCTGCAGCTATTCTCACTCCTCCTCACCTCCGGGCAACATGCACTTAATTAAAAAGAAAGTTGAGAAAGTTGGAAGGTGCCCTTCCCTCCATATATCCACCAGTCCTAGCTCCTCCCTCTCTTCCCCCAATCATTCTCAAAATAAAGCCCATGCCCATAGGGGAAAAATTTTTTTAACATGCACTACCTGACTATTTAGTCAGGGGCACCGACCTCTTTTCCCTTAGATTGTCAAATTAAAAAAATGACAACAGCCAACACAACAATAGCCATCTGGTGTGAATGAATCAAAATTATACCTATTTTTTGTCAGATCAGCAAAAAAACTAAAGTATTTTTTGATGTGCCGCAGGATTTTAGTAATTAGTTTCCGTGCGCCATGGGATGACGAAGGTTGAACATTGCGGCTGTGAACCCACTGCCTCGCTCTTCCGAGCCCATGATTTGGCTTGGATTTTGTCTTTTAAAGAGCCTTTATTCCTGCTTACATCTTCGCCCCCTGGAGAGGTTTTTGTGATTCTTATACAGCCAGTGGCCTGCCATCCTGGTTTTTTGTTTTAATTTTATTTATTTACTTATTTTTATTGCAGTATAATTGACATACAACATTATACTAGTGTCAGGTGTACAACATGATTCAGTATTTGTATATATACAACTTATGACAACATATGCCTATGGTCCAATCCCCTTTTCCTATCCTACTGCTTTGATTTTTATTTGTGTGTTTTTAATAGCTTTAATTTAGGCTTATATGTTGAAGATAAACTTTTAAAAAAGAAACCTGCAGATTCCAGAAGTAGCTTTTTGCGGTAGTACACGGCTGAGTGAGGCCTTTGTCAGCTGTCACCATGGTGTGCGCTGTGGCCAGGGCCAAGATGTGCAGAAGGTGACAGGCAGCCCATCAACCTCGTCTTCAGATACTTGCAAAATAGATTTCAGATTCAGGTGTGGCTTTATGAGCAAGTGAATATGCAGCTAGAGGGCCGTATCATTGGTTTGGATGAGTACCTGAGCCTCGTATTAGATGATGCAAAAGAGATTCATTCTAGAACGAAGTCAAGAAAACAGCTAGGTTAGATCATGCTAAAAGAGATAATATTACTCTTCTCCAAACTGTCTCCAACTAGAAATGACTAATGATGTGAGAAATTGTTGAGAAGCAATACAGTTTGTGTTTTTTAGGTGTTCTTTGTTGGGAGAATAGTTCTTAAACATTTATTCATATCACATTTATTACCCTATGTTGTTACCAGATGACAGTAAGTGCTATGGGATTCTTTTTATTAAAAAAAAAAAAGTGACATTTATATTTTGCTGTAACTTATTTTTTTCATGTTTTCTTTTTTAATTATCACTGATATTCAATATATTAGTTTCAGGTATGCAGCATAGTTGTTAGACATTTATATAACTTAGGAAGTGATTTCCCCAATAAGTCTAGTACTCACCTGGCAACATACATAGTTATTAAAGCATTATTGGCTATATTATTCTCTATGCTCTATTTTACATCCTGTGACTGTTCTGTAACTACCAATTTGTACTTCTTAATCCCTTTACCTTTTTCACATAGCCACCTAATACCCTCCTATCTGGCAACCATCAGTTTGTTCTCATATCTATAACTTTGTTTCTGTTTTGGTTGTTGATTTATTTTGTTTTTTGGATTCCACATATAAGTGAAATCATGTAGTATTTGTCTTTCTCTATCTGACTTATTTTACTAAATGCATTACCTCTACAGCATAATTTGTGTTGTTGCAAATGGTAAGATTTCATTCTTTTTTTATAGCCAAGTTAACATTCCATTGTATATATGTCTCACATTTTCTTTATCCAATCATCTATTGATGGACAGTTAGGTTGCTTCCATATCTTGACTATTGTATATGAAATGTTCTTCATTGTCTCTTGGTATAGCCTTGTTTTAAAGTCTATTTGATCCGATATAAATATTGCTACATGAGGTTTTCTTTCCCCTTTCCACTTGCATGAAATATCTTCTTCTATTCCTTTACTTCCAGTATATCTGTCTTTTGATCTAAAGTGAGTTTTGTTAGTTCTTGTTTCATTTCCATTTAGTCACTCTGTGTCTTTTTTTTTTTTTAATCCTCATCCAAGGACATGCTTATTGATTTTAGAAAAATGGGGAGGGAGGGAGAGAAACATCAATCAGTTGCCTCTCTTATGTGCCCTTCCTGGGAACTGAACCTGAACCTAGGCATGTGCCCTGACCTGGAATTGAACTGTTGACCTTTTGGTTTACAGGACTATGCTTCAACCAACTGAGCCACACCAGCTGGGGCACCCTGTCTTTTGATTGGAACATTTAATCCATCAAAAGACATTTAATAATATGTCTTTTATAATAATACAAAAGTATAGTTATTGATAAATGATAGGTATGTAGTTATTGCCATTTTGTTATTCATATTTTTGGTCTTTTTCCTTCCTCTTCTTGAAGAAGTTCCTTTAACATTTCTTGTAAGACTGGTTTGGAGGTGATGAACTCCTTTAGCTTTTTCTTGTCTTAGCAGCTCTGTACATCTTTAATTCTAAGTGATAGCCTTGGGGAGTAATCTTGGTTGTAGCTTCTTGCTTTTCATCACTTTGAATATTTTGTGCCAATCCCTTCTGGCTTGCAAAATTTTGTTGAGAAATCAGCTGTCTTATGAAAGTACCCTTGTAGGTAACTAACTGCTTTGCTCTTGCTATTTTTCATATTCTCTCTTCGTCTTTAATCTTTGGCATTTTAATTATGTATCTTGGTGTGGGCCTGTTTGGGTTCATTTTGTTTGAAACTCTGTGCTTCTTGGACTTGCATGTTTATTTCCTTCACCAGGTCGGGGAAGTTTTTTGTCATTATTTCTTCTCAATAGGTTCTTGATCCTTTGCTCTCTCTTTTCTCTTTCTGGCACTCCTATGATGTGAATGTTGTTATCTTTGATGCTGTACCATAGTTCCCTTAAACTATCCTCATTAAAAAAAACTAAAAATTTTTTGCTGTTCTCCTTGTGTGTGTTCTGCTTGTCTTCCAAATCACCAATTTGATTCTCTGCTTCATCTAATCTGTTGTTGATTCCATCTAATGTAGTTTTCATTTCAGTTCTTATATTCATTTCTGATGCGTTCTTCCTTATGGTTTTTATCTCTTTCTTGAAATTCTCACTGAGTTCATCTATTCTTTCCCTAAGTTCATTGAGCATCCTTATAACCACTGTTTTGAACTGTGTACTTGGTAGGTTGTTTGCTTTCATTTTGTTTAGTTTTTTTTCCCCGCCCTGGAATTTTGTTCTGTTCTTTAACTTAGGATGTTTCTTTATTTCCTTGTTTAGTTTTTTTTATCCTGTCTTTTCTTTTTTTAAGATTTTATTTATTTATTTTTAGAGGGGAGGTAGGGAGGGAGAGAGAGAGAGATACGTTGATGTGTGAGAGAAACATTGATTAGTTGCCTCTCACATGCACCCGACGGGGGACTGGGCCTGCAACCCAGGCTCATGCTCTGACCAGCAGGTGAACTGGTGACCTTTCACTTTTCGGAACAATGCCCAACCAACTCAGCCATACCAGCCAGGACCGTTTCCTTATGTAGGCTGCCTCTCTGTGTTTGTATTTGTGTATTTAGGAAGATTTGCTACACCTCCCAGTCTTGGAGAGCAGTCTTATGTAGTAGGTGTTCTTGCGGATTCCTGGTCACCTGGGCCAGATGCTCCAGGGGTGTCCCTTGTGTGGGTTGTGTGCACCCCTCTGTGGTAGTTGATCCTTGATTGCTGTTGACACATCAGTGGGTGGGATTGACCCTTAGGCTGACTGGCTGTGAGGACTGTCTGTGACTGTAGCCGACAAGCTGTTGTGCAGCGGCTGACCCCACAGAGCGGGATTCAGTTTAGCAGGGCTCTGGTGCCTGCCAAGTCCACCCTTGGGGTGCGTCATTTGTGTAGCTCATTGGGCAATGCTCTGAGGTGGCCTGAAGTCAGCCAGTGGCCACCGGGTGTATTGGCTCTGGGGCCTCAGGGGAGGGGCTCTGGTGCATCCCCAGGTCAGCCACTGCCTGTGCCCAGCCCAGGGTCACCCGGTAGGAGCTGCGATGTGATCTGCAGTTGCTGGCTGCCTAGGCTGGACTTGGAGGCCAGCTGCTGCTAGTGCTGGAAGCTGCTTAGCGAGAGGTAGAGGGCACACTGAGGATAGTGGCTGCTTAATTGGGGTTGGTGGACCTTTGAGAGGTTTTAGGAAAGTCTACAGCGTAAGCTGAGGCCAATAGCTTGAGAGGAAAAGTTTCTGAAAGAGGTTCAGGCTGGTGCATAGGTTAGGTGAGGCAGGGTCTCCCTATTCTGCTGCTAGGGAATAGACCAGCTGGTACAGATGCCTCCCTTTCTCCCCCCTGTTTTCCCTCTGAGTCCATTATTCCTCTTTTATTTATGTAACATCAGTCTATGATACTCTTTCCGTAGGCTGAACTTACCATGTGGTTTGTTTAATACTGTTTTCGCATTCACGTTCTTCTGAGCTTAGCTGACCGCTCTTATATACTGAAAATTCAAACAAGGTTTAATGTCTTCTGTTACTACTTTCTGACCTTACCTATCCTTGTACCTGATTTACTTCATTTTCTTTTTTTATTTTATCTTTGCAAGTGTGTCCTTTTGAGAAGGAGTGAGGTAAATATAGGTAAGAGATGAACTTTGCTCTTACCTTAAACCTTTTGTTCAGTTTAGTCTGGGCCCCTACATTAGCTGTTATCTCTTACAGGACCTGTTTTTAACTGAAAAAACTAATGGTGTAGGAAAGCTATGTGGTGTGCCATTCTTCTAAAGCTGTTCCAAAGGCCAAGACTGGGTGTTTTCATACCAAAAACCGGGTGATCTGAGGAGCCACGCTGACCGCTGCCGGGGCCAGCTGCCTGTTCACAAAGCGCCCCCAAGGCTGCCCTGCTTCCAGCCGTGTCTTTGGATCAAGGAGATCAATATTTCCTGTGATGTTTAGTTTGGTTCAGAGGGGAACATGCAATTAAATTTTTTATTGTTACATGATTTCATACCTACAGTAAGTTTACAAAACTAGGACAAAAAATTCCCCACATACCTTTTACCCAGATTTTCTCATATGTTAACATCCGACTATATTTGCTTTCTCTCAGCCATATACACGTTCATAAATTTTTTCTGAATTATTTAAGAATAAATTACAGACATCATGCCTCTTTGTTCCTAAATATTTCAGGGTACATTTCCTGAAAAACAAGGCTCTTATATAATCACAGTACACTTATCAAAATCAGTGAAAAACATTTAAGAAACACTGCTATCTAATCGACAGATTCCATTCAGATTTCACCATTTATCCCAGTAATGTCCTTTTTAGGAAAAGGAAGTACAAATTCATGTAGTTCCCATTTCAAGCATCATATCTCTAGCCTTCTTTAATCTGGAATACTTCCTTTGTATTTTATGACAGACCAGCTATTTTGTAAAATTTCCCTCAATTTGAGTTTGTCAGGTATTTCCTCAGCGTTAGATTTAGGTTTATACCTTCTTGACAGGAATACCGCAGAAGTGGCGCGGAGTCCTTTTTGGTGCGTCGCATCAGGAGGCACGTGCGGCCAGAGTCCCACTGCTGGCCGTGTGCGCTGGGGCGCCTTGGCTGAGGAGGCGTCCGGGCTCTCCCGCTGTGAGGTGGCTAGTCGGTGGCTCTTTTCTGCATGCCACATATTTCCTTTATGTGTGTGGACCTCGATGTGTTACTAAGATGCAGATTTTCTTTTTTTATATACTTTCTCTGAGCCCTGACCAGTGTGGCTTAGTTGGTTGAGCATCATCCCACAAAGCAAAATGCCACCAGTTAATTTCTAGTCAGGGCACATGCCTGGGTTGTGAGTTCAGTTCCCAGTTGGGGTGTGTACGAGAGGCAACCGATCAATGTTTCTCTTTCACATCAATGTTTCTCTCCTCCTCTTTCCCCTTTCCTCCCCCCTCTCTAAAAATAAATATATAAAATTTTTTTAAAAAACCACTTTCTCTGTAAATCCATTGCTGTCTGTTTTCCTAACCTCTGTGTTACTTGGCTGCTCGCCACGCTCACGTGCACCACCCCCGCACCCGCAGGCATGCCAGAAGAACAGAGAGAAGGGCTCCAGGAAGAGCTGATCGACATCATCCTCCTCATCTTGGAGCGCAACCCTCAGCTGCATTACTACCAGGGCTACCATGACATCGTGGTCACATTTCTGTTGGTTGTAGGAGAGAGGCTGGCAACGTCGCTGGTAGAAAAACTATCTACCCACCATCTCAGGTACCAGCACAAAGGGACATAAGAGGCAGGCATCACTCCCCAGGTCCCCATGAGGGTAACTCCTCAGCCCTTCAGTGAAAACACTGAAATCAGTGTTTTTGGTGGCTTGAGCCCCATGCCACCCCCACCCCGATCTAAGTGTTTGGTCTGACCAAGCTTACTATTTCCCCCTAGGGATTTCATGGATCGAACAATGGACAACACCAAACATATATTGAACTATCTGATGCCCATCATTGACCAGGTGAATCCAGAACTCCATGACTTCATGCAGAGGTATATATGTGTCTGTGTACACACACACCTTCAACTTTCTGTAGCCTTTGTTTCTTCCTCACAAGTCTAGCTCATCATCATCTTATACTGATTAGTGTTAAGTTCTTCTGAGTTGTCCTTTCCAGTTATCAGTAATCTGGATAATTCAGTTCTGTACACAGTCTTGGAACACTTTTTGAGTGCTATGCTCTTTTGGGACAACCCATGCCCTTGAGGAGTTTACATCTAGTGGGGAGAGGAGGATGAGGTAAGTGCACCAACGTAGACTTTGAGGTTATTGCCACAGGAGAAGTACAGTCCTGTAGGGTCCAGAGGCAAGAAAGACAAGGTGGATGGTGTTACTTGCCAAAATACCAAGGAGAAGAAATATTTCTTTGCAAATCTCATATATGATTTTTTTTCCTTCTTAATTAAGTTAGAAATGTGTCTTCGGCCAATGCCTGACTTTTTTTTCTTTCTTTTGTTTTTAATTTTAATAATAGCTATGTCTGCCCTGGCTGATGTGGCTCAGCGGACTGATTGCCAGCCTGTGTACTGAAAAGTCATCAATTCGGTCAGGGCACGTGCCTGGGTTGTAGGCCAGGTCCCTGGTTGGGGACGAGTGAGAGGCAACTGATGAATGTTTCTCTCTCACACTGATGTTTCTCTCCCTCTCTTTCTCCCTGCCTTCCCCTCTCTCTAAAAAGTAATTAAATAAAATCTTAAAAAAAATATCTATGTCTTAAGATGCTTGTCATCTCATATTAACTAAAAAAATAGAGTTGTATTTTCAAGCCTGAGAATATGTGTCTGTGCCCCCCAAAAGGGTATGACTTTCTCAGAGGGAAAATCATGGTATTGTTTTCTGTAAATAGATGCTTCTTTTTCCTGTAGTAGACATTTGTTGGCCACAGGAGATCACCCAGTGAAATAAGGTGACTGGGATCCTATTGTAGTGTTAATGTCATGATGGTGGGTACATTTTAAGGACTTTGTATTTTATGAGGGAAAAAATGCTGAATTCTTAGGTGGCTGAATTTTCCAGAAAGCATATTTCCCAAATGTTTTCTTCTCACAGCACTGAGGACAAAGAAGGCCCAGAAAAAAGGAAAGGGATGACTCAGCAGGGAACCTAACATCTGGATTTCCTTGTTCCTAGTGCCGAGGTGGGGACAATCTTTGCCCTCAGCTGGCTCATCACCTGGTTTGGGCATGTGCTGTCTGACTTCAGGCATGTTGTGCGGTTATACGACTTCTTCCTGGCCTGCCACCCCCTGATGCCCATTTACTTTACAGCTGTGGTAGGTACAGGCCATGAGCCAGCAGCTTGATCATTTTAAGACAGCATTTCTGCCTTGACTGATGTAGCTCAGTGGACTTAGTGCTGGCTTGCAAAGCAAGGGGTCACTGGTTCGATTCCAAGTCGGGGAACATGCCTGAGTTGTGGGTCAGGTTCCCAGTTAGGGGCGCACAAGAGGCAACCACACATTGATGTTTCTCTCCCTCTCTTTCTCCCTCTCTTCCTCTCTAAAAATAAATAAATAAAATCTTAAGAAAAAAAGATAGCATTTCCCAGGCTGGTGTGCCTGGACACCATTCTATGCAGCGGCAATGGAGGCTATCATGGAAGAATGTGTTCTGTGTAAAAATGAGTTTGGGAAATGCTGGTTAAACAAAGACAATTGCTTGATTCTTCTGAACCTTTAAAATGCTCCCCTGCATTGTGAATTATGTGTTCCTGTCAACATGTCCTGGAACAAGTACAAACTGCCAAGTCCAGGTTTAAGAAAAGGAGTGTGGTGGTATGGTAGAACATTGAGATGGCTTGAGGGGTGTGGGGGTGTTCCAGTTAGCAGGGGGCCCGGGTCATCGGGGTGGGGGTGCAGGTGTAGACTCACACGTGCTCTTCATTGCTCTTTAAAGAGAACAAGCCCATTCTTCCTACTGCTTTGAACCATTTTATTCTGTGCTGGAGCTCCAGGAATCTTCCAGTAATCCTTCGCCTCTTCTTCCTCTTAAAAGAATCTCCTTCATTTAATTGGTCAGTCTTTCACAGCATTGGGTAGAAGGTTGCCTCTAGCAGGAAGGGTCAGCCCAATAGGAAAAGCACTCAGATCTGTGCATTATTGCTTCCTAAATGGGTACAGGATTTTGCCACACATAAGGGGTGAGCCCTGTTACAGGAGAATGAAATGCATGTGGCCAAGGCCTCGTGTGTTCTGGTCCCTGATGCAAAGCCTTCTTCTCCACAGATCGTGTTGTATCGAGAGCAGGAAGTCCTGGAATGTGACTGTGACATGGCCTCGGTCCACCACCTGTTGTCCCAAATCCCTCAGGACCTGCCCTATGAGACACTGATTAGTAGAGCTGGAGACCTCTTTGTTCAGTTTCCCCCGTCGGAACTTGCTCGGGAGGCGGCTGCCCAGCAGCAGGCTGAGAAGTAAGTGAGGCCAAGCCACTGGTTGAGTCGGTGGTGTCTGTCAGTGGGCAGGAGCGATGGGAGATGGCGTCTGGTGGCGACAGGGCTGTGGGGGTGTTCCCAGAGGTCTGTGCTTATGCCAGAGGAATCCCTGCTTCAGTTTTGATGGGTCTTCATGAAGAAGAGTTTTCTGAGCAATGGATGGCTCTGCCCGCAGCCTATTTAATCTAGTTTTTCTTTCCTTCTCTGTTTCTTCATGTTATTTCCTTTTTATCTCCTCCTCCTCTGCAGAACGGCAGCCTCTACCTTCAAAGACTTCGAGCTGGCGTCAGCCCAGCAGAGGCCCGACATGGTGCTGCGGCAGCGGTTTCGGGGACTTCTGCAGGCGGAGGATAGAGCAAAGGACATCCTGACCAAACCAAGGACCAACCGCTTTGTGAAACTGGCGGTGATGGGGCTGACGGTGGCTCTTGGAGCGGCCGCTCTGGCTGTGGTGAAGAGTGCCCTGGAGTGGGCCCCTAAGTTTCAGCTGCAGCTGTTCCCCTAAATGCCAGAGAAGGTTCTTCCTCTGACATTACTTTAAGGTCTTGCCCTTCCATGGAAGGATGGAGAGGGATGGAATGTCCTTTATTAAAAGGATTTCTGTCAAGGGTTTTCTATTCCTACCACCCTCCCTGGCCCGGCCATGGTTTGCCTTTGCCTCAGAGGCCAGTAGCAGAGCCTGTCTGACATTGGGCGCTTGGGGGCCTGGGCGCAGAACTCTTCTCCCTCACAGTGGGCTTCTGAGTGGGCTCTCCGCTGCCTCCTTTTGTGTTGGAGGAAGTGGTGGGTTGTTTTGTTTTGTTTTCTGTTCTTTTTAGCTCCCAACTACCTTTGGAACCCACTAGGCCTGGTCACTGGGGACCCTTTTGGCTGCCTAGTAGTAAGGAAGGTGGACCGCTGACTGCCCGCCTCCTGTTCTGTCTGCTTTGGCAGGACAAAGAGGGAAGGAGCTACTGCTAAGGATGTCTGGCAGTGGCACGGAGGTGAGGGGGCAGAGCAGGATAGCCCGGGAACAAGAGTGGCCCTTCTTAAGAGCAGCTCTTTCAGCCGGTCAGAAATCAAAGGGACAGGTGGGAACTAGGTTATTGGGTAAATCCGACCGATTTTCAGCCTAGAAATCCCAGGTATTTCCAGTCAAATGGGAAGGAATGTTGAATTTTACAGCCAAGATGTAGACTGGTTTTAACTGCCCCTTTTTTTCTGTCTGTTGTCTTCCACAAGCCACACAAAGCTGCTTGTAAAAGACACTTCTATTGCTATTTTTAGAATTATGTAACACTCAACATGTAAAGTACCCTCACTTTAAAAATAATAGTTCCTTCATGGAAAAAAATTGTTTCTCATCAGAAGGATGAGCTTCGAAGACCCTGAGGTTTCCTTTTTATGCAATTATTTCACATTTCCCTTTGGCCAGAGTTGCTGTTTGCAAACAGCTCCTCGCTTCCGAAGTGCCCGCTCTGTGTCTCCATCGCGGTTTTCTTCCGATTACCCATCTCTTCCCGAACAGGCACCCACTCACTACCTAGGCTTTGCTTTTTGGGTTTGATTTATCTTCTTAACTGCTGGTCTCTCCTTCCTGGTCGGAAATGCCAGTGGAAATGTTCAGCACCCAGAAAGGGACAGACTGCAGCCTGGAGAGTGTGGAGGGGCCTGCAACAGCCAGTGCCCTACACTGAGCTGCCTGGGGACCCTGCAGGCCGTAGGGGACAAGATGGGTCGTTCAGTCCTTCTGGGACAGCTTTTCCTGTCAGTGAAGCCAGGTTTGTTTTCGATTAACTCTGGCTTGAAAAAAAAGTGCCTTTTGCTTCTTTAAAGAATTGGGGTTGTATAGTATGAAGCAGCCATGTACTTGTATTGTCCTGGTCTCTCTCTGGCACTGTTCTGTCTTGACAGGTGTTTCAATGTGAACATGCCAGAAGCACTCTACCTGCCATACCCAGGCCTCCGCATCCTTCCTTCATGCCCACTGTGTGCAGAGGGGAGGGCATTTAGCATGCCAGGCAGCTGGCAAGCCCAGGGAGGTTAGGAGAGGTGTCTCTACATTAAGTCACATTCAGCACTTTAAAACAAAAAAAGCTCTTAGCGATGGGTCATTCTCTATAGTGGGAGTCCCACCTGGGTGAGTGTGATTTGGATGGGTTAACCTAGAAAGCGGAAGATACGACAAAGGTAGTTCTTTCAGGATCCAGAGGGGATGATGTGACGTATCCCCAGTCTTCTCCCTCAGTGTGTTTGTCCTCTTGGTACAAATGCGCAGCAGCACCGGCGTGCCCTGCCACGAGCACTCGGGCATGTCTGTAAATACTGAAGGAGTTGATGGGGGAGACGTGAGGGGGTGCATGTGATCAGGGTCCCAAGGCCACACAGCTTTTTGGAACCCAGGAAGCAAGCGGCATTTGCTTCTATTATGACCTAAGGAGCAAGTTCATTTGTTTTATAGCTTTCCTGACATCAGGATTCACCGCGTCAATGAGAATAAAACATTATCTTTCTACCTTCAGGTGGTTTACTGTTCTGTAAAGAATATGTGTAAATATTTTGTACAGAGCCCTATATGAAATACACAGCCATACGTGGTTACTAATCATCTCTTCTGTCATTCTGTCCTGTCCAACACTTGTCTGGAGTGGAATCTGATCTTAGACGTCTGGCCTTGTGCCCCGCCCCGCTGGCCTGGGACCATCTGTGGCCTCCCGGTCGGCCTCGCCCGCCTCGCCCGCCCGGAGAGCTGGGTGACGCCTGCAGCCCTGTTTCTGTTTCGTCTGCAGGCAGGGCGACCTACACGCTCCCGCCGCTGCCACGTGCCGCCGGTCACTTCAGCGGCACGGGCGGTGTGGGATGTTAGGCGGGGGTGCTCTTGACTATCTCCCACACTATTCTGGGGATGCCCCTGCTCCTGAAGGCCGACGTTCAGGTTTGGAACCTACCCGGAGCCTGCTGTGAACACAACTCTGCCTCCACCGGTAGTGTCTGTCCGCAAAGGAGCTGAGAGAGCTTTTTCTCGCCATCCATTTCAAACAGCATCTTAACACCCCCCAGCTGTTGGTTAGCAGGATCCCGGAGTAGTGCCCATTGCCTGTCGCCTCCACCCCAAGGATGGGCTGATCACGGAGGCAAGTAAGCCACGTCAGCTGGGATGTTTGTTTAACGCTTCCCTGGCCCAGAGGCCAGAGGGGAGGGCGCCCAGGGCTGAGCCGGCATCTCAGCTCCCTGGCCTTGCCCCACTGCCACCGGCCAGCTGCCCTCGCTGCCCTGAGCTCCGACTGGTGGAGAACAGGGCTGCCCCCGGGATCGCTGCATCTGGGGGCTCTACATCAGAGCTGCCTTCAAGGACGTTTTTTCTTTGAGTAGCAGATTCACTGGCAGTTTTATAGGAGTTGATGGTTAAGTCTAAAGAGTAGGATTTTGAAAGTTGGAACATTGAAAGTATATACAGTAAAAGAAATTTGTCCCCTGTTCCCCTAAAATTCTTGGAATTTCCTGTTAGGAGTGTCTTTTGTCCTTCGTAATGAATCGCTTTTGATCCCTCCTGAGTTTATGCTAATGAGGTCACTTACCGTGGGCCCCTAGGTAGCCTCAGATTGGGGCTAGTCACCCCAAGGCCAAGTGGTTAGACAGGAAAATTTTGGCCCCACCCACTGACCTAGGAGGTGAGGGAAGGCTGGAGATTGAACTCTACAAACTCTTCATTCAGAGATTTTAAGAGCTTCAGGGAGGGTGGTGCGCCCAGAGAGGGCTCGGGGGACGTGCACCCTCTCCCCATACCATGCTGTATTCATGTCTACCATTGAGACATTTGTTAGTTATGTCCTTTATTAAAAAATTGGCAAATGTAAGTGTTTTCCTGCATTCCGTGAGCCCTGCTAGCAAATTATTGAGAGGGAGATAGGAGAGGGAGTGGTGGAACCCCCTGAATTTGAAGTTGGCCAGGCAGCAGCGTGGGCAGCCTGGCACTGTATTTGCGGCGGGCGCCTGCAGGGAGGCAGTCTCGTGGGCCTGAGCCCTTCGACTTGTGGGATCTGATGTTGACTCCAGTGTCAGAAGTGAATTGTTGGACAGCCGGTTGGTGCTGGAGAATTAGAGAAGTGGTGTCAGAAAATAGCACACGACATGCAAGGCTGAGGGAAAAGTAGTGTACAAACAGTAGCTACATAAAAAGTGGGTGATTTGTAGGCAGCAAAGCCCAGGAGGACTGGAGTCTGGGGCCTATGGAGAGATGGAGAAGGCAATGTCAGTGGAAGGGAACTTGGGAGTTCAGGTCAGGACAGCTTTGAGCACTGTGGAGGGGAGGATGGGCCGTGAGCAAAAGTGGGTTGAGAGAGAGAATTACTGGTGGCATCATGGCAAGTGTGTTACTTCATGGCAGCCTGAGCTTCTGCAAGTGACAACGTCTCAGACTCGTTGTCAATAACAGTAAGATAGGGGTAGCCCCATCTCATGTGGACAGTTTAATGAAATGTTTGGGAAAATGCTTTACACACTATAAGGTCATGCAAGTGTTTGGATTCTGTTTTGGTGAACATTTATTCATCAGTAAATACCTTTAGCCAGCCCTACACTTTGGTCCCGTGCTCACTCAGGGACTAAGTGGTGACAAAGGACTAGGCCAAAGGCTTTTGCCAAATCCAAGCAAGAGAGGGTGGAGCCTGAGCCTCAGCCTGACCGCGTCTCCCTTCCCCGCCCTGCTGTCCCCTTGGTGCCTTTTGCTCTGGCTCCTGCTGCCTTTTTCTCCTGCCTTCACGAAGGCCCTCTACTTGATAGCGGCATTTCCCCCCCCCCCCCCCCCGGCTTACTAGAGGAAGGGGGCGACACTACAGGAAGACGTGTTAGCTCTGGCACAGATGGTAGGGCCCAGCCTCCACTTCCTGTTCACAGCAGCAGCAGCTGCTCTTTTGAGCAGCAGGCTTGTGCTCACCTCCTGTTCTGGGAGACAAAGATTATGCCCCTGAAGTACATTTGGGACCTGCTGCTGCTTCAGGTAGGTGGTTTGAGTCTGAAGCCCATGGGGTGTGGTTTCAAGTCTGCTCTGCCCAGTTGGCAATGGGTTGGTTCCCAAAGTCTGGGGCCCCAGCCTGGGGTAACCCCTTGGGAGAGGGCGGCACCTCCCCCTGACCCTGCAGTAGAGATTGCCCATGAGCTGGTCGTGGTTTTTTTTTTTTTTTTTTTTTTTTAAATTTTAGAAAGAGGGAGAGGTGGGGAGAGGGGAGAAACATCCATTTTTTTGTTCCACTTACGCATTCATTAGTTGACTCTTGTACATGCCCTGACTGGGGATCAAACCCCCAGTGGGCGTACTGGGAAGACGCTCTAACCGAGCCACGTGGCCAGGGGGAACCTAACTTTAGTCCTCCCCCCGCTGGTACGGTGAGTATGGCACGGGAGGCTGCCTCAAACTCAAACTCCCTGTTCACGTTGTGGATGAAGGGGGCCAAGTGCGCGCACAGCCAGTGAGGCCTTCTGCCTGCCTTGCTCTCCCTTTTTATACAACCATAGGTCAAGAAATACGTCCTTCCTACCTGTTAATATTTAGGAGAGGAGAAATGGTGCAAGGGCATTGAAAATACCCCAGCGTGTGGCACACTGGGGGTGATGAAGACCATGGTCACCCGGCGGGTGGTGGGCACCCTCGTGAAGAGAGCTCTGTTGTGTGACCCGGCTGTTCCTGCCACATGGAATTGAAGACCTGAGATTATCACACTTCAACCCTTTCAAGAAAGGCTAGGCCTATAGATTCTCTCTCCATTTCAAAATGGCAACAAATTCACATTTCTCAAACAGTACTGGGTGGACTGAGTACAGACGGTGGCTTGGTACAGAGGATGTACAGTGTGCGTCCTCTCAACCAAGAGAACATTCTCTGCCTTTCTCTTGGGCCCAGGCCCCTGAAGGGTGCCAGATGGGCCCCGGCAGGAGAGGAGGCGGGGGCAGCTGGTAGAGAGCATTCTGCCCTGAGCGGGCCGTCTCACTCCTGCAGTCCAGGTCTCAGCTGCTCCTGCTCCTCCGAGCCGGTGGCTCTGCTGGCCATGTCTTGCTCCCCGGGGGGCGGCCCCCCTTCAGCGCTGTGAGCCAGCACAGGGAGTGGGTAAGGCATGCCTGTCCTCTGAGAGCTCTGCTCACGGTGCCCGGGGCCGCCTCTTTCTAGTCTTGGCATCCAAGGGCAGGGTGGCAATGAGTTTCCAGGGGCTCAAATAGAGCCCATTCCCCCAAAACCACATGCCCCAACTTCTGGAGCCAGGAGTGCAGGCCTGAACAGCAGAGACATGCTCCGCTTGTTGTGATGATCCACATCACAGCCCCAGCGTGCGGGCCGTCAAATACCCGATCTCACCGGGGAAGGCCTCAGAAACTTAAGAGAATGTACACCCAGAACTATGTATTATTAACCTCTGGCCGGCACAGAAAGGGGACTAACAAATATTGCTGGACTATATCAATACTACATAATACTGTGGCATCTTGCCTGAGATGTTAAAATTAGGATGGACAACCTAACCCCTCAACTGCAGGAGCTTCACCTGGTCCTGAAATGTCTGTTCCCCAACCTTGGATGTCCACTGAGCGGCCAGAGGCAGCTGCAAGCTTTTCCTGCCAGCCCGTACCTGCTGCTCAGCCTCTCCCCACCCCCACGCCCGCACGGATCTGCAGGCCTGGCTTTGCGGTCTCTCTCGGCACTCTGCAAACTCCGCCTGTCGCGGGGAGCGTCCTGCCCCATTGAGCTGGGCGCAGGGGTGCCAGGCAGCTCTCATACATGCTTCCTGCTGCAGTTCCTGGAGAGCTCGGGATCGTGCGTGTGTGCAGGATCCCAGGCCACGTGCCTTTCACAGACATCACTCACATCCCTTCCTGGAAAACCATTTTATTTGGCTTACACCAGCGGCAAAGAGGGAGAGGCGGAATCTGGACTAGGGGGGTGTGCTCCCTGGTCTCCCTCTTGGCTCTGAATGGGATTAGCAGCAGTTCTAAGAGGCCCCAGGCCTTCAACAGCAAAGCCAGAGAAAAGTCAGCCCCAGAGAGCCGGCAGGGGAAGTGGCAGGCTGCGAGTGCCCGGGTGTGGGAAACGGTGGTGGACGGGGGTGAGAGGGTGGACTCCCGTGAGGCTCCCAGAGGCTCCATCCAGCAAGGCCTCTAGCCAGGGCTGTGTTTAAGGCTAGGCCAGGCGGAGTGGGAGCCGCACAGAAGAGATGAGAGGTCTGGCCAGCAAGCCCCAGGGGAAGGGCAAAGGCACTGGGGCAGAGGCGGCTGTGGACAACAGACAGCTCCGGCAGGGCACTTGCAACACACACAGCAAACGAGGCCGCCCATGCAGCCCAGGGGCGTGGGCCTCTGCTGGGCCCGTCTCAGCACAGCACACAGGCATCTCCCAGGCCAGAAATCAGAGCCAAAGCACCTGCCCTGTCCCGCAGCAGCTTGTGGACATGAGGCTGGGTCAGCGTGGGGACCGGGCCATCTTCATCTCAGTGGCAGTTCTGACAGCTGGGGTGGCAAGGACTCCCATTCACCCGGCAGCGGCAGCCCCCATTGGTGTCTCCGGGGCCCTGGGGGATGACGGAAGAGAAGGTCAGGGCAGGGAAGACAGTGCCCCCCGCTGTTCCCTCACACCCCAACACAGTGCACACTCCACTCCAGGCCGTCGTCTGGGCAGGCTCCCCCCACTTCTCAGCTGGCCCGCTCAGCCTCGGCGACCTGACGGAGGCCACTGGGCACCCCAACTGCATGGCCTCTGCCTGCCTATCCCAGACCCAGAACAGGGAGAGGGGCTGGGGGTCTCCGTGTGTTCTGTGAGGGTCGGCACATGGGCAGAACGGAAAGCGGCCATTTCCTTCCGCCTCCATCTCTCTCGATGCCTGTGTGTATGGAACCACCATGACCCCCAATTCCAGCAACGCACCCTGGACAGCTACCACATACGAAGTGCTTGCAATATGATGGGCACCTTGCTAAGCACTTTTCTCACACCTTTCCCTTTGATTCTGACAAGCCTGAGGGGGACAGGCCCAGGTGCCACCTCCATTTTACAGATGAAGAAGCTGACGCTCAGAGAAGGCAGAACAGCCTGCCCTGCACAGCACGCGTGTGCCAGGGTCAAGCACCCAAGCCACCCCGATTCCAGGCTGAACCCTTAATCATTGTCCTCTAGGGCAAGGGTCACAGCCTTTGTCTGTAAAGAGCCAGACAGTTTTTGGCTTCACGGGCCAGTCTCTGCCTCTGTAGCACAAAAGCAGCCAGAGACCGTATGTGAAGGAATGAGCGTGGCAGTCCTAAAATCCAGATTTCATATCATTTGTTTTTAATTTTATTTTTTAACTTACTGATTTTTAGAGAGGAAGAGGAAAGCGGGAGTAAAGAGAGAGAGAAAGAGAGAGAGAAACCTCAGTTTGGTGTTCCACCTATTTATGCACTCAGTGGTTGACCCTTGCATGTGCCCTGACCGGGGATCGAACCCAAAAGCTTGGTGTATCAGGCTGATGCTCTAACCAACTGAGCTACCCAGCCAGGGCCAGATTTCATATAATTTTCACATCACAAAATATTCCTCACTCTCAGGCAAGGCCCATGTGGGGGGGCCTCCCACAGCTCCCCTGAGCCTCTGCTTCCCAAGGACTCACCCCCGGTCCCCAGCGTGGGCCCTTGGTGACCCAGCAGATCTCGGTGTGGCAGACGGTGCAGCGGATCCAGTCACAGCCATCCTTCTTCTGCACCACGATCTGGCACTGCGGGCAGTGCATGGCCTCGCCCTGCTGCAGCATGGACTGGGGCAGAGCAGGGGCTGACCTCGGGCCGGCGGGGTGGCTGCCCGGCCCCTCCCCTGCCCGGCCCCCTCCCCGCCGCAGAGACTGCAGACTCCGCCACCTGGATGGTGGAGTGAGTCACTTTCCTCTGCTCCGTTTCTGCAGTCTCCTCCCTTCCTCCACCCAGTCACTTGTTCTGCTGCTTGTCACCTGAGCGCTTATCCCCAAGCCCCAGCTCCAGATGGGAGTGAGAGCAGCAGGGAGGTCAGAGCCTCAGGGCCCTGGGAACCGCAGCCCTTTCTGAGAAGTCCCCATGCCCCTACTAGCTCCCGCAACTCAAAGCCCTCAGCCCTGCCCCGGCCTCACCCTCAGCATCTCTGTCGTCTGCCGGGCGGCCACGTCGTTCTGAGCCCGCAGGGCCAGGTCATCCTGGTACTCCTTACAGTTCATCTGCTCGTGGATGGCCTGCAGCGAGTGAGGGGCTCGAGGTGAGAAGGCTCCCCAGGTAGGCACCTGGGAGAGGTGGGGCACAGAACAGGCATCCGCACACACCTAGCGCCTCCAAGGGTTGTTCCGCAGAGGACCTCGCTTTCTAAGTCATCCCCCTGCTGAGGCCAGGCAAGTGAAGCCAGGGTCAGCGTGTATGATAGTCCTACATACCCATTTATTCCAAGTCCTTACGGGCACGGAGACCCCTAGACCCCCTCTCACCCAGGCTGCGGCCCCTCGTGCCTAGCTAGGTCCACATGCAAGCCTGGTGCTCGGAAGCTAAGCCTGCTTAGGGTGGCTAGGCTCGGACGTGCCTACTCTTGGCCAGTCTCTTTACCAATCAACTGCTGAGATGTCAGGGGCAGGGGTAGGCCTGGGTTTAGGGTCCAGGCTCAGTGCAGGGCAGGAGCTGGGGCTTAGCATGGGGTCAGGGCTCAGGCCGGGGTCAGGGCTCAGGCCCGGGCCAGAGCTCAGTGTACATGGAGGTTCTGTCTGGGGAGGGACTTGGGATCAGGTTTCAGTCCAGGGTCAGCGCTTGGCCCAAGGATTAGGCTCAGTTTGGGGGCCGGGCACCCTCAATGACGGGGAGCTTGAAGTCATGACAACCAGGCCCTTTGCGGAACAAGCACCGACTGGCAGTGAGCTCCTGGCAGGACTAAGGTGACTAAGCAGCGTGGGTCCCCATCCCCACCTTGCAGAGCAGGCAGTTGACGCGTAAACACACGGGGCAGGTGAACTCATTGACATCATCCTCAAAGAAGCACCACCCCTTGCAGTCCAGGGTCTTGCAGTGGTAGCTAAAGGCACTGCGGTTCTCAGCGATGGAGACACCCAGGTCCAGAAAGCGCTGGTAGTCCTCGGGGCTCAGCAGCTGCCAAGAGACCACAGCCTTGGTCTCCAGGGCTCGGAACACCTGGCATGTGGCCTCCTGGCCACCAAATATCCTCCTGAAGGCCCCCAACCCATACAGTCCAACCCCACCCCAGGCTCTTTTCTTCACATCAGTATTTAAAAACTCCGTTCAGAAAGCGGATTAAAACTTCTGAGGATAGACGGTGATGATAGCTGCACAACAATGTAAACATACTTTTTTGTCCTTTATTTTTATTGTTGACAACATGAATATACTTTATGCCACAGAACTGCACAGTTAAAAAGGGTTAATATGGTAGATTTTATATGTATTTTACTGCAACAAAAAATACACAAAAATGGTAACAAGCAATGCTGGGAAATAGGGGGTTCAACCAGAATCCTGGTACATTTCACTCTGAGAAAACAACGTGGCAATAATGTTACAACCATCCCAAACCTTTCTGATCCTTTTGGGACTCACTGGCTTCTACAAGTTTATCCTAAGAAAATAATAAGAAGAGACACTAAGCAAAATGTTTCCTGAAGCATTACTTACAAACTGAGACATTGGGATTATTAACAGAAGAGGTATAAACAAGATGTGCCATGGAGATTTATAATAATATTTAGAAAGATTTTGTAGCCAAATAGCAAAAGCTGTGTGTCTGCCAGTTCCAATGAAATAAAAATCATGCCTATGTTCTAGATCTTGATTGGGGTGGTGGTTACAAGATACATTTGTCAAAACTCACCCAACTGCACGTACAATGGGTGCATTTTATTGGAAGCAAAGTAGACCTTAATAAAGTTGATTTAAACAGGAAAAACATGTCATCCTAGAGACTCTGAAGTTAACAGGAGAAAAACGAAATCAGGGATCTTCTGGGATGATGGGCTTTATGCTGATTTTTCTTTCATTTCTCTACTGGTTCTCTATGCTTTAGGCATGGTTCTTGTAGAAACAATCCCCACTGAATGGCTCTGTTGATCCCTGTCCCTTTTCCTCTCTGCCACACTTGCCTGTTCTCAGGTCACTCTGAGGTTACGTCACTCGCAGGGGCCCCAGGGCATAGGTGGACTGCACAGGAAACACCTCTGGGCACCGACTGCGGGCTCCCCAGGGCAGAGAGGGGGCCTCAGCAACTCCTGGAGCTGCCCTCCTCAGACACCCCACAAATGAGATAAAAATGGGGCTGCTCTTGGGGTAAAGGGCGGGAGTTCCCCAGTTCTACCCCTCTGCCTGTCCTCCCCCCGGGGCAGAACTCCTTAGGCCCCAGGACAAGCTTGGGGAAAGGGGCGGGGGGTGGCGGGAGCAGGGTTTTCAGAAGAAGGGTCACAGGAGAGAGGCAGGAGTGATGGGAAGAAACAGGGGTCTGGTCTGTGTGCCTGTGGGGTCTCCCACTTGGACCTCAGCCCCCTTTGGCCATAGGCACATGACTATGCCTCATGTTTTTGCCTGGGAATCCCAAGATGCCCAGTTCTGGGAAGGCCATTCCTCAGCAGTTTAAAACCTATAAATTAAGCCAAACAGTCCACTTCACAGCTGGGGAGAGGGAGGCCCAGAGAAGGGAGAGGACCTGCTCAAGAGCACCAACAATCAGAGCGAGAACGTGATAACACCGTTAGTAACAATAACAACAGCAAACACACAGGCAGGTGCAGACGGAGATAGCACTGTGACACACTGCTGGAGGAACGGCCCCAATTTGTTCACGTCTCCCTGACTCCACACTCGCGGGCGGTCCCCTCCTGCACAGAATCTGGGCTTGGGCATGTGACCTGCTTTAGCCAGTGGAACAGCAGCAAGTGTGAAAGGAGCAGACTTGGAAAGCACTCCTGCCCTGAGGCTGCCGCCCGTTGCTCTTGGACCTCTGAGACGCCAGTGAGCAGCCTGGCCAGCCTGCTGGAAGGCGGGGGGGCCTCAGTGGAGGCAGGCGCAGTCATCCCGGCCGTCTCAGTAAGACCATGGAACGCCGGTCCAGGACCGCTGACCCACCAGCTAAGCCCAGAGGAGATCAGCTAGGCCCAACCTGGACCAAAAGAATCATCCTGATAAGCCCAACCGAAATTACTGACTTGCAGATTCATGAGCTAAATGCGGTTGTTTTAAGCCACTAAGTCTGAATGACCTGTTACACAGCAAAAGCTAACGGACAAGGGCTTGCCAGGTGTCAAGTACCACTCTAAATGCTTTGCACAAATCCTCTGCTGTAATCTTCGCAACTCTTGAAACAGAAACTAACTCTAACTCTGACGTTATCTGAGACGAGAGGACTGCGGCACTGAGGGCTGTCTGCCTGGAGGTCACCCAGGCCCACTCTTAACTGCTCGGCGGTCTTTCCTTCACAAGGGGGTTTCCTGACTAGTTATCTCCCCCCGTTCCTGCCCTGTTCACTGCCTGGGTCCCCAGCATCCCACGTAAAGAGGGCTCTAGATATACGGCTGCTGCCCGAGCCTGGCGCCCTAGGACCGGGGTGTCCCGCCCCCGCCCGCCCCCGCCCCGGCCTTACCGCCCGGATCTCCCTCTCCAGCAGCTTGCCTGAGCAGGAGTAGGTGTTGTCAATGAAGGGGCAGGCGACCTCCGCCTCCTGGCTGTTGCGGATGGTGCCCTGCAGACACTCCCTGGGGGAGGGATGGAGTGGAGGTGAGGGTCAGAACCCCACCTATCGGGGCTCCACTCTCACACCGTTGGTCTGACCCCTGGTGGCTTCTCCGCAGCACTTCCCTCCCTTCCTGTCCTTCCCACCAGCCCGATACTATGGCCTCAACTCCCGGCCGCCCCGCGGCTCCGGTCCAGTTCTCCAGCCCCGACTGCCTGGAGGACTGCAGCAGCCTCCTCCCGGGCTCCCTGCGTCCACCATGCCCCTCCCCAGCAACTCCCATCCCACAAGGCTCAGAACAAGCCCGAGCCCCTAACTGCGCGGAGTCCCCATGACTCACGCCCCTGGCAGCTCTGTCCACCCCTCTGCTCCCGCCACACCGAACCCTTGTTCCTGCAGACAGGCCAGGCGCGCACCCACACCAGCGGCCTCCAGGGCTTCCCTGGCCCCTGCTCTTTTTACCATAATCCTCTGGTACTTGGCATTTGTCCCAATTTACAACCGTATTAGTGATTATTTGACAAATAATTGGCATCCCCACTGGAATGCCAACTCCAGAAGGCAGAAGCGGAACTTTCCTTCCTGGATACCCAGGCCGAGCACAGCCCCTGGCACCCAGGCGCTGCTCACCAAATGTCAGGATGTGTTCTCCCCAGCCCAGGTCTTCGGATGGGCCTGGGGAGAAGCCTTGGAAGGGGGCAGGCTGCCCACCAGCCAGGTGCAGGGCCAGAGGTTGGCTCAGGTGGCCAGGGCTAGGACTGCGATGCCCCGGCATGGCATGGGCCTGGGTCGGGAGTAGTGAGGGGCGCAGGCTCTGGGGCCAGAATGCCCGAGCCATGCGGCCGCTGTGTACCTCACACTCCTCTCCTGCAAAATGGGGAGACAGCGCCTACCTGGCAGGGTTTTGTGGGTATCCAATCAGATGTGAGCACAGGACCCACCCCCTTTCTGCCCTGGGTAATTGGTGGCCCATCAACACTTGGCTGGGGGTGGGCCCGCACCTGCAGAAGGTATGCAGACACTCCCGCAGCACCACAGCCTCGCCGGGCGCCAGCACCGAGTAGCACACGGGGCACTCGGCGGGCTCGGTGTTCAGCACCAGGCTCCTCTGGTCCAGCTGGACATGCTGCAGGTAGTTCCCCTCCTGCTGCTGCTGCTTGCGCTGGGCACATGGGGCGGGGCCGGGGGCCAGTCAGACCAGGAAGTGGGCAACGAGGGGTTGCAGTCAGATCCCTCCCAGAATAGGGACAAGGCTGGGAGACAGGATCCCCGGGTAGGGGTGGGGGTGGCCAGGCAGTGAGTGTGAGCGTGAGCAAGAGCTGCTAGGAAGGGTAGGGCCCAGGGCAAGAGGAGGGCTAGGCAGAAACAAGCTGGGCTGCAATCAGGGGCCAAGCCAGGCGAGGGGGCAATGGTAGTAGGGAAAGGAAGGGGGGCCAGAGTCTGAGGAGCAGGTCAGAGGTAACAGGGCTCCCATTTCTGCCAAGCCGGGTGGGGCTGGGGCCTGGCCAGGGGATGGAGGTGGAGGAGGAGGGTCAAGATCAGAGTAGGTCAGGGGTGTGTGAAGGGGGAAGTGGTACATAAGGGAGCAGAGCAAGGCAGGAGGGAGGATGGGCCAGGCCAAGGCTGTAGACGGGACCAGGAGTGAGGTGATGGCTCGGGCGGGTCAGGGCGGCACTAGGCCCAAGGACACACAGGTGGAAATGGGGGCATCTGATCGGACGGGGAGCTCTCACGGTTGGGCCCCTCAGTGTAATCAGTGCTTGGGTCACAACTGGTGGTGCGCTGGAGAGGTGCAGGCCCCAGGGGTGGAGGGGTCAACCCCCCTGGGAGCAGAGAGGGGCCAGGTCCTGGGGTCACAGGAAATCAGGGGTAGGCTACGGCCAGAGAGGCAGGGCAATCAGGGGTCGAAGGGTCCAGGGTGAGGTCAAGGCTGAGTAAAGCAGAGCTAGGAGGTCACAGGCGGGTGAAGGAGTGGCAGATGGGGCGCAGCCAGGGTGTCTACCAGGTGCACTTCATGCACAATTGGTGTGTATGTCAGAGCTAGAGGCAGGGCATGTGAGCCTGGATGGGCGTCACAGCCAGGGAGCAAGGTCTCAGCCACAGGATGACCTCCAGGAGAGGGAGGGTCACAGCGAAGTGAAGGTGTCACTGCCTGCCCTGTGTCCGTGAGGGGGCAAGGCAGCAATTGCGGAGAAGCAGCAGCACGGAGGGGCCTCCCTTCCTGGCCTCCACCTCCCGGCCCAGCCTGCAGGCGCCCGCCTGGGGACATCCCGCCCACCTGCTGGTACTGGCGCAGCGCCTCCTCCTCGCCCGCCAGCCGTGCTCGCTCCTCGGCGTCCGGCTGGTACGTGGCAGGGACCTGGTAGGTCTCGGGGCGCGCCCGGCAGCACATCTCGCAGCCAGGACGCGTGGGCTTGTTGATGAAGGTGCAGCCAGGACACTGCCAGCCCACCTGGGGACGAAGGGCTCCGTGAGCTCAGTGCGCCGAGGGGCCAGGGCAGGCGGGGTCAGGGACACGGGGGACGGACAGCTTACCGGTGGGGGCTCAGGAGCAGCGTCAGGCTGCCCCCGCCCTGGCTCCTGCGGGACCCCAGGCTTCGGGGGAGCCGGCTCTAGTGGGCCCCTGGGCTGCAGCGTGAGGTCCTTGAAGCCCAGATCTGGAAAGAACGGTTAAGAGTCTGGCGGATCCATGCAACCCGCTTCGTCCACACGCCCTAGTCAGCCAGGAACCCTGCATCCTGCACAGAGCCCCTCCTGTCCTCTCCCTCCTCCCTGGATGAGTCTCCAGCTTGGTCCTACCAGCTGGACCCAGATCTGGCTGAGGGTCCCTCCGCCACCCGAGAATGCTCCTGAGTCTTCGGGGCTTAAAAACCCTGCCGAACAACGGAGATCCACTGCTCTGAAGTGACGCACCCAGGACAAGCCACACTCCTGCGGTGGTCCTGCCAAAATACTGACTGGTCCACTCATGAGGGGACATTGGACAAAAACCAAAAACTGGCCTGGACTCAAAACGTCTGTGTCAGGAGGGTCAAGGGAAGACTGAGGAGACCAAAGACTCAGAGAGACAGAGAGAGGCAACTGAATGCCAGGGCTTATGTTACAAGGGACGTGTGATGAAGGCGCTGTATCTGTGTTAATTCTCTCAGTTTGAAAGCTGCATGTGGTAGTACAAGAAAGTGAGTCTTTTTTAAAAGGTGATACACGCTGAATTGAAGCATTTATGGGAGAGGGCCAGTATGTCTGCAGCTTAATCTGAAAACAGTTCAGAAAAAAATTATTTATATGGATACAAAGAGATTTTATAATAATTTTATAGACAGGATGATAAAGCAGGGCAAATGTGGTAAAATGTTACTATTTGGGGAACCCACACAAAAGGTCCACCAGGAATTTGTGATACAATTCTTTGTACAATTCTGTAACTTTTCTGCAGGTTTGAAATATTTAAAAACATGAAGTAAAACATTTAAACACTAGTGATTATCATCTAATCTAATTTACAAATTTAGAAAACGAATGAGCAAAGACGGGCAAGGCCTCACCCGAGACCACACAGCGGAGAAATGCCAGAGCCAGGCCTGAACTCAGGTCCTCTCCCCTAGGCCGCTGTTCCCAAAATGGGTCCCGACATGACTCCCTCCCAGGGTGGGGTCCTCTGGCCTCTCTTCCCCACTGTGGCTCAGCTCCTCCAGTCTAGCCGCACGACCCCAGGTGAGTCCCGACCGCAGGTGAGTCCCGTCCCTCGGGAGCAGAGCCTCACCCTCCAGCATCCGCAGCTGGCGCTCCCGCTGCAGCTCCTGAGGGCTGAGCGAGGTGTTGCAGGCTGACAGCAGGTAGAGGTAGGCACTGTCACCATTCCGCCGCACCCCATGGGAGTGCAGGGTCTCCTGGTCCCGGGCCAACCGCTGCCCGATCACCCACCGCTGCAGGGCCGGCGGGAAGCCATAGTCCAGGAACACCTGGCGGAGGTGGGGTGCAGAGAGAGGGAGTGGGAAGGGGGACCGGGGTACAGCCAGGGCAAAATGGGAAGCCTCGGCCCTGATGTCTCCCTTCTGTTTGCTCACTCACCATGTCCTTGAGGGAAGCCACTGTCATGTCAGGGTGCACTGTGAGCCAGATGGTGACAGTGTGCATCTGAGCGTCCTCCACACTCACCCACAGCCTGCAGAGAAGAACAGGGTGGGAACAAGGGTTCCGGCTGCGGGTCCGACCTCCGCCACCAGCTGTAAGCATGGGCCAGTTTGTACGCTTGCGCGTGACACGGACACACACGCACAGGAGCCCCCAGGCTGTGTGAGAGGCCTATCTCCTGAATTCTCGCACCCCTGTGCTTCCTCTTTTATAAGAATCCACTGCTTTAGCCCCTCCGATGGCCACGCACTGCTCCTAGGAATTCCGCACTCACCGTGCACACAAAGGCCCTTGACCTGGCCCCTCACCGCCTCCCCAACCCCTTCTATCCTTCCCTCCCTGGCTCCTCAGCTGAGCAGCCCCCAGCAGCCCCCAGTTGTTATTTACCGAATGCTAAGACTCTGCAAAGCACGTGATATGAATTGATATGAATTAACTCATTGAATCCTCTCAACAAACCCGTGAGGCAGGTACTACTGTTATCCCTATTTCACAGACAAAAACGTGAGCGACAGGTTATGGTGACTCTGCCAAGCAACCAATTAATAAGTGTTAGAGGCAGGATTTCAATCCAAACAGTCTTTTTCCAGAGAAAGTAGTTTCAAACACCAGCCTTCTTAAGGATCCTAAAGCAGCTTTGGAAGACCAAAAGCATAAAAAGGGAGAGCTAAGATGAAAAACCAGAAATGATCCCAGACGAAACATAAATTAGGAAGCAAAACAGTAACAGTAAAGCTCATTTCATACCATCAGAGAGATCTAGGAGAACATTGCATCAAGCAATCGGAAATGAGGAAGAACTGGAAATTTACAAGTGACTCCTGATTAACCTAACCTTCAGATCCAACTACAAGTTCACATGAAAAAGGAGAGATAGTCAATGACACCCTGTGGTGGCAACTAATAAATCCAGAATGTAGGAAAATTCTAAAGATCAAAGAACAGTTTTCTTAAGAAAATTAATAGCATAAAAATAGAGAATAAAAAAGGCTTAGACAATAATAAGACATGTTATGTGCAGATCACACTGGAACAAACAAGTGTAAAAAGCAGTAATGAGATAATTAGGGAAATCTGAATATAAACAGAGTATTAGAGGATTTAAAGGACTAATAATTTTTTAGGTGTGAAAATGGTATCAAGGTTACTTTTGAGTCCTTATTTTTTTAAAAAGATTTTATTTATTTTTTAGATAAAGAAAAAGGGGGGAGAAAGAGAGGGAGAGAAACATCAACATGCAAGAGAAACATCAATCTGCTGCCTCCCACATGCCCCCGACCGGGAATCCGGCCCACAAACCAGGCATGTGCCCCAACCAGGAATTGAACAGCAACCTGTCAGTTCTCAGGGTGGCTCTCAATCCACCAACCCACACCGGCCAAGGCTGAGTCCTTATTTTTTTTTTAAGGCATCAAATTATTCATGAATGAAATAATATCTGAGATTTACTTTTAAATACTCCAGAAAATACTCTCAAAAATTCTTCAGGGTAATGATTCTCAACACCCAGCCAACTATCAATGAAGTGAGGGCAAAATATAGACATTTTTAGACATGTAAAAACTTCAAAAGTTTACTATCCACTTTCCCATAGGAAAAGTTTTGGAAATAAAAGAAATACAAATAGCTGAGTCTGATGCAGGAGAATGGAAGAGAACTAAAAGGAAATTAAGAGGTCTAGACCTTCACCATCAAAACATTTCAAATATAAAAGAGCATACATACATTTTCAGGCCAAGTGTCCATCAATAGATGTCCCATGGACAAAACAACCATGGGACATTTACCCAATGAAATTCTACTCGGCTGTAAAGAAGAAAATTTTACCCTTTGCAACAGTATGGATGGACCTGGAGGACATTATGTGAAGGGAAATAAGCCAGTCAGAGAAAGACACGTACCACATGATTTCACTCATATGTGGAATCTAATGAACAAACTGAAGTAACAACCAAAAGAGAGACAGACTCACTGATGGAGAGCAGATGACAGCTGGTCGGTGGGGGGCAGTGGAGGTTGGGGGTGGAGGGATCAAGCAAAAAGGACGCATGGACAGGGATAAAAGGGCGGTGACTGCTGCGGGGGGTAAGGGGACAAAACGGTGATGGAAAAAATATAATAAAGATTATGCATTTTTTTAAAAAGTGTATACACTTTCAATAGTACTACTTGTCCTACAATGAATAATATTTCCATAATTCAATGGAAAGTGCTATTTTAGTGGGTTTAGATTTTTAGAATCAACCTAGAGACAAAGCACAGAAGCCTTAATGATAGTTTAAAAAAACAAAAGCTAAAAGCTATAACGTTAGCACTAATAACAAAAAAATAACAGTTGGAGCCCTCATATCCAATGTCCTCAGTCAGTATTGATCAGTTCAATCAGAAAATCCGTTCAAGCGGAGAATCACAGAAACAGTCACAGACAAACCTTAAACACTTCATTTTACCTCACAAGTGACATATACACAGTTATTTGCCGATCTCCAGGGGAACGGCCAGTGGCTTTTTTTGAGTGTGAACCTGCCTTGGGAGTTTCCCGTTTTTTATTTTTGGATGAACCGTGCCCACCATACATAGTCCATGATTTGCAGTATCAGCTTCTTTAAAGTGGAGCAAAAACCTAAAGACACTCTCAAAGCATCTCAGTACAGAACTCTTTTGGATTTTTATCTTTTTTTTTTCTTTTTTCTTTTTACAATTGCCTCACCCTAGAGTGGTAAGTTGTTTTTTTGTTTTTTTTGTTTTTTTTTTGTAACATGTCTCTATGTTGTCTTTCTAAAGCAATCAACTTCTTTTTCATAAAAACAATTCTCTTTCAACACTCATCTTTTACCGATTGATGTAACAGCTAATCATATTATAATATTAACAAGTACAATGGCTATAAACAAAGCTGTGGCGCAGCAGTATTTTTTTTTAATATACATACATTTTGTATTTTGGAGAGGGGGCAAGTTATGGAGAAGGAGAGAGAAACACTGATGTGAGAGAGAAACACTGACTGGCCGCCTTTTGTACACACCCTTCCGGGGGCGCACGCTGCCACCCAGGCCCGGGCCCGGGCCCACCAGGAATCAGCTGTCGACCTTGCAGGACACACCCAACGAGCGGAACAGCACGGGCAGGGGGCTGCAGCAGCGGTTTCACAGCAGAAACTACAGTGCTGTGATGGCGGGGGGTCAAGAAGCGTCAACTGGGAAGACTTGCACTGCAATACTTTCACAAAAATCACAAAGTCAGGAAAAGGAAAGGTGAGAGAGGAGTACGTTAAATTCCTCATTTTCATAACAAGGAAGGCACAGGTACCCTCTCAAGTTGATGTATCAAGAAGAGGATACGTAAGTATTTTATTTCAAACAAAATGGCCCATCGATCTAGAGACTCCCTGTAACCCTCATCAAAATCCCAGCTGGTTTTTTTTTGCAGGTTTCCTGGGCCAAAGACTAACAGTATCCACTTTCTCTTGCTTCTCTTGCTGTGAGAACCCCAGAATTCCTTTTCTTTCATTAAAAAACTTCATTGATTTTTTTTTTTTTCTGAGAGGGAGAGAAACATGGATTTGTCGTTCCCCTTATGTATGCATTCATTGTTGATTCTCATATGTGCCCTGATCAGGGGTCACACTGCCACCTTGACAAGTCAGGACAACGCTCTGACCAACTGAGCTGCCCGGCCAGAGCAAGAGCCTCTGCGCTCTTGCAGTCTGCCTGGCTCTATTTACAACCTCCCTTCAGGCTGAGTGTGGCTAGGGGAGTAAGTTCTGGTCCACAGAAATCAAGTGGAAGAAATGTAACTTTCTGAGAAGTATGTGCTCTTAAAAGAAGTGTGGGAGGAGCTACCTTTCTTCCCTTCCTCCTCCCTGCTGATAAGAAGGCTGATGTGCCCTTGTTGGTGTGGTTCCATGGATTGAGTGCTGGCCTGTGGGCTGAAAGGTCACTGGTTCGATCCCAGTCTGGGCACGTGCCTGGGTTGCGGGCCAGGTCCCCAATTGGGGGCATGCGAGAAGCAACCGATTGGTTATCTCTTACACATAGATGTTTCTCTCCCTTTCTCGTTCCTATCCCTTCCCTCTAAAAATAAAGAAATAAAATCTTAAAAAAAAAGAATGCTGATATGATGACTGGAGCTGGAGAAACCATTTTGGACTGAGATGTGAACCTCAAAAGGAGGCCACGAACGGCAAAATAACAAGACAGGAGATGCATGAGACCCTGAGGACCCCAGGAGCAGATCCTCCGCGTCCGGACTGCCTGCCACCAAACTTGTCTATGCCACTGTTATTACGTGTTTTTCTGTAACAGGAGGCCTAACATCCTAAAGCAGCCCCTAACAACCCTGTTAGGTAGCTGCTACCATTGCCCCATTTTTAAAATGACAAAAACTGAAACTCGGAGCAGTGAAATAACCTGCCCTAGATCTCACAGCTGATTAGTGACAGAGCTGGGGTTTGAAGGCAGGTCTCCTGACACCAGAGCCTGCCGGTAAGAATGACTGTTCTAGCGCGGCTCTGAGAGTCCTCAATCCTTGCTGGGTTGCTGAAGATTCCACGTACACATTCCGAGTTTGTTCTCGCCAACCCATTCCACAAGGCTAGCAGAAGAAAGCCTGACACCCAGTGGATCACCAAACTAGACCACAGGCACGGGGAGAGGCGAGGGCTGACCTCTGCAAGCAGCGGGAGCAGTGGCACTGGAAGGGCCCCGAGTTCCACCACGCTATTGGTGGTTCTCGCCGGACAGCTCGGAGAAGGAGTAATGTTCTCCAGCTCCGCCATTACCGCTACTATAAGTAAAGTGTGAAAAATTCTTACTTAATAGACAATTTAGGACAGTCGTGTCTGCTTAAAAATGTTCTTTAATTTGCTAACACTCAAAGTCTGCAGGTTGTTTCGTGAATGCATTGTTCAATTTGAAAGTTAGCGCTGGCTGGGTAGCTCAGTTGGTTAGAGTACTGCTCACTATGCCAAGGTGTAGGTTTGAGCGCCGGTCAGGGCACGTGCAAGAATCAACCTAATGCATACATAAATAAGCAGAACAACAAATCGATGTTTCTCTCCCTCTCTCCCTAAAAAAATCAATCAATCAATAAAAAACTTAGCCCTCACCAGGTTGCTCAGATGGTTGAAGCATCAATCTATACACCAAAAAAGGTTGTAGGTTCAATCCCCAGTCGGGGCGTGTTTGGGAAGCAACTGATAGATGCTTCTTTCTCACATAGATGTTTCTCTTTTCCTCCTCCTCTCTCAAATCAATAAACATATCCTTCGTGAGGGTTAAAATAAATAAATATACAATTTTTAAAGAATTATATGTTTAAGAAAGTTAAAGTTCAATCATTTTTTAAGATGATAAGTGATGGTGTATCTCATTTCTCATAAGATAAACACTTTTGTCTTTGCCTTATCTTATTAGGCGTTTTCTATGTCAGTGTTTAAGATGCCGTTTGGTATAATAAGTGTAAAATAAATTCTGTGAAAGAGGTAAAAATAAAAGAGTAACTCTATCGGCAAGAATATATTATGGCCCACTGGGGTTCAGCGAGCCCTATGTCTTTGGCCAGCCATGCACTCCTCACCTGATGTCCTGTGTTGGGGACACCTCAGGCTTCAGTTGCACTCTCAGGGGTACGCGTTGCTCTGCCAGCCAGATGGCGCACTGCATAGCCACCTGCTCATCCCCGCCTGCCACTGCTCGGGCAAGTCTCAGGGCCATCTCCTCGGCTAAAATTCAACACAGTGGACACAAGTTAGCACAGGGTTAATTTTCAGGAGCTGGGGTAAGGGCGGAGACAGGAGGGGATCCTTTGCACATGCTGCTTCTTCTGTCTTCCTGGTGAACTCCTACATATCCTGAGGAGCCTTCTCTGATACGCCCCAGTACCCCTTCCTCCTCATTTGGTTCTGTTTTTCCTTCATATCCCCAGGTCCCCCTTACTTCCATTCATTTGGCTAGTATGCATTTACTAAGTTCCTACTGTGTGCCAGCCACTGTCCCAGAAAGTGGGATTCAGCAGTGAATTATATAAACAGGACCTTTCACCCTAGTAAGAAGACAGACAAGTTTAATAGAAGAGAAAAACAGATTGTGGTCCATGCTGGCAACAAACTAAACAGGGCAAGGAGATCAGGGAAGGCTTCTAGGACGAGGTGACATTGAACCTGAGACCTGAAAGAGGAGAAGCTGGATATTTCAAGACCCAACTGGGGAAGAGTGTTCCAGGTAGAGAGAAAGGTAAGAGCAAAGGCCTTGAAGAAGTGGTTGGATTAGATCAGAAACAGCCAGGGAGGGCTCCAGAAGAATAACCAAGGGGTGAACAGAGGAAGACCATGGGGTCAGCCAAGCCAGAAGGGCGCAGTGGGCCACTCAAGGGCTCTGGGCTTTGTTCTAAGAACCCAGAGAAGCACCAGAGGGTTTTTGAGCAGGTGTGACATGACCTGATTTATGTTCTACAACACAAGGTGGAGAGGGCAAGAGGGAAGGCAAGGACCCTTGGTGTTCAGATCAGTGAGGTCTGTCTCCCCCACCAGCCTGGGAGGTTTCCTGTGTCCTCTGGGAGCTCCCATCTCAGCCCAGAGCTGGCCCACGGAGGCCTCAGGGCCACCGCATAAATGAATGACCAGACAGCTCCGATAGTAACTGGGCCCCAAGGGAGGAAACTGAAGGGCGAGTGGGCAGAGGGAGGCCAGGGATAAAGCCCCTCTCCCAGGCCTTTCTCGGCAGGGGAGCAAGGGTCCTAGCAGAGCCAACCTTCCACCCGAAGTTTCCCAGTCGCATCCAGCCTCTGCCCACCTTTCTTGGTCTTCTCGTCCATTTGGCGTGGTTGCTCCCATCACCCCAGGAGGGGGCTCTAGCTCCGGGGAAATGCTATCTCCAGGTCACTAGGCAGAGGGCAAGCGATCAGGAGCAATTCAGCCCCGGCCAGGGGCCTCCAGCGTGGCCTGAGCCCTCTTTGTGCCTCGGTGTCCCCTGCAGCAGTCGGTGGCATCACACTCCCCGAGGATCGGGGACGGGGCCTGGGATAGGGGACAAGCCGGGACCCTGCGTGGGAGATGAAAAGGCAGGAGGCACCGAGCCAAGCCCGCAATGGGCGACCGAAAAAAACGGGACAGGCCTGGTATTGGCGGGGCGACACCGCACCGCCGGGACGCTGGGAAGCCCCAGGCAGGGCCCCCACTTCTCCCCGCTGGGAGCGCCCCGGCTTCCGTGACTTCAGCCAAGCTCCCAGCCTTCCAGCCCCAGTGAGTCGGAAGGAGGGGAGCAGTTTCGGCGGAAGAGAAAGTGAAAGTGGCGGCCCCGGAAGTAGGGGCGGGAGATGGTCGCAGGATCCGGGACACCCTACCCGTCCCTACCCCCAGCACCCGGCCCACCGTAGGCAGTCGCAGCCGCACACTGCCCTGTCCCAGTCCACGGCGGCCCCGGGCGCTCAACCTGTCGGCCCCGGGCAGCCCCACTCCACCTCGGATGGATTCCCGACTCCCCCGACCCTCTCTCTCCTGCCCAGCCCAGCCGGCACTTCCGCCGGGTGGCTGGGGGGACGGGAAGGACGGGGCAGGGGCGGGGCAGCGGCCGCGGACGGGGATTGGACGGAGTGGGTCTCAGCTCCGCCAAGCCACCAGCACAGGGGTGCGCAGACCCGGTCCTTAGCTGGGTTTGCAGACGAGGAAACGAAGACGCTGTTTAAGAACTGCCCGAGACCACCAAGTCGGATTTGTATTCGGACCCGGAGGGCTCAGGAACTCACCCTCAGCCAGCCAGACTGCTCTCCACCTGTTTATTTAAAGGGCTGCTAACGAAGTTTGCGTTTGCCTGCGACACGCTGGAAGTTCTTGGCATCCTCCAGACAACCTGCCCCTTCATTTTCCTCCCACCCCTCATCCCATAGATCATCAGGTCCTGTGGGGTCCCCCTGCAGAATAGATCCAGAATCTGCCACCTCTCACCCTCTCCACACCCCATCCCGCTGTTCTCCGTCGCTTCTCCTCGGGGGTTTTACAACCTCCTCACTGGGCTCCTTGCTTCTCCTTTTGGCCCCTGTTGTCCATTTTCCACTCAGCTGCCATAGGGTCCTGTTACAATGTAAATCAAACTATGTCACTCCTCAAAACACTCCCAATAGTTTCCATCTCACTCAAAAGCCTGGTAAAACTTGTAAACTGCCTCCTCCCTTTTTTTGACTACTATTCCCTGGCTCACTCCATTCAAGCCCCAGTGGCCTTCTGAGTCCTAGAACAAGGCAGACTATACACCCACCTCAGGGCCTTTGCACGATCCAAATATCTTCATGGCTTGCTCTCTCCCTTTATTTTGTTTCTTACTGAAAGATTTTCTGTGTCTACTCTATCTGAAATTTCATATATGCATCTACATCCGGTATTTCATAGTCTCCTTCCTGGCTTCATTCCACCCCCACCCCCCAAGCATGTATTACTATCTAATAGCATATTTTACTTATTTATCTTGTTTTTTGTCTGTTTCCCTCTTCTAGAGGGCAGGGACTTTGTCTCTTTCGCTCCCTGCTGTGTTCCTGGTGCTTACGGATTATATGTCAGTTGAATGAATGAATCTCAGACTTTCACCTGGGATCATTTTCCTTTTGCCTGACATACATCCCTTAAAAGAGAGGTTCTCAACCTCGGCTGGACTTTTGAATTGCGTGGGGGAGCTTGTAAAAATCCTAAAGACCAAGCCACATCTCAGATCAATTGATTGGGAATCCTTGGGAGTGGGCCAAGGGGTCAGGAGTTTTTAACACTGTCTGGTGTTTGTAATGTGAAGCCAAGTTTGAGAACTGCTGTTCTAAAATTCCTGTTAGGACAATTTTCTCGTGATAAACTTTCTTGGTTTTTGTTTTGAAAGTCCTTATTTAGACCTCATTCTTTTTCTTTTAAATATTTTATTTATTTATTTATTTATTTATTTTTAGAGAGAGGAGAAGGGAAGGAGAAAAGAGGAGAGAGAAACATTGATGTGTGAGAGACACATCAATTGGCTGCCTCTCGCACGCCCCCATCTGAGGACCTGCCCTGCAACCCAGGCAGGTGCACTGACCAGGAACCAAATGGACCACCTTTTGGTGGCTGGTGCTTAATCCACTGAGCCAGCCAGAGCTAGACCTCATTACTGAGGGACATTTTTACTGGGTACAGAATTCTAGCTGGCATTCCAGCGCCTTGAAGAGAGCAGCATTCCATTGTCTTCTAGCTTCCGTGGTTGCTGTGGAGACATCATCACCTGTCAGTCTGACTGCTGTTCTTTTTTAAAACAGCTTTATTGCGATATAATTTATATGCTATAAGATCCACCTGCCGAGAGTGCGCAATTTAATGGTTTTTTAATACACTTAAAAGTTGTGCAACCACAATCCAACTTTAGAACATTTTTATCCCCCCTCAAAATAAACAAAAAAAACCCCTGTGCCCATTAGCAGACACTCGCCATCTCCCACCCTCCAGCCCCCAGCACGAATCCACTCTTTGTCTCTGTAGATTTTCCTATTCTGGACATTTTAATTAAATCTTGCAATACGCGGTCTTTTGTGACTGCCTTCTTTCACTTAGCATAATGTTTTTGAGGCTCATCCATGTTGTGGTATTGTTCTTTTGAAAGAAATCTCTGTTTTTACCATCTAATGCTCTTGAGGTTTTATCTTTGTCTTTGCTTTTTTGCATTTTCACTATGATGTGTCTATGTGGGAATACTTGAATCTGTGATGGATGCCTGATCCCTATCTCAGTAATGTTCTCTTTAGCCACATCGAATCTGCTGTTTAACCCATCTTTTGGATTTTTAATTTTGGTTATTGTATTTTTTATTTTAGAAGTTCATTTAGGTTTTCAAGTCTGTTAGGCCTCTTGATATAATTCCTATACTTTGGCCATAGCTTCAAGCTTGTTCTTTATTTAAGCCCTATTAGTATATATTTTTGTTTTACAGTCTATGTCTGATAATATCGTTATCCAAACTCCGAATGTGTGTTTCTGCTGGTTTTCACTCCTGTTGCCTTGTTTCTCCTGCTGATTCTGCCAGTTTATGGTGGTCACGTTCCCTTCAGCCCCGAGGTCACCTGCACAAATTGGTGTTAGGAGCAGATATATTCTTTCGGGCATTCCAGTCTTAGCCTTGGTCCCTCAAGGGCTGAGCTGGCATCCACTTTGGACATCCTTTATGCCAGCGTATAAACTCCAGTCACTCAAACTTGGGTTCAGCCCCGCAGTTTACTCTCTGGGTGACCCCAGACAAGACGTCACCCCTCTCTGGGTGTCAGTTTGTCCCTCTGTACAACGGTGACCATCATGGTACCTCCCTCATGGGGCTGCTGTGAGAATCTGCATCAGTTATTGGTTACTAGTAGGTAACAAATTACCCTAAAACTTAGTAGCTTAAAACTGCAGTTTCTATGGGTTAAGAGTTTGGGAGCAGTTTCTTAGGTCATTTGACTAAAGGTCTCTCATGATGCTGTTGTTAAGATTTTAGCTGGAGCTTCAGCCAACTGCAGGCTTGCTGGGGCCGGAGGATAGACTTTCAAGAAAGCCCATTCATATGCCTGGTTGGTGCTGGCTATCGCAAGATGCCTAAGTCCCTTGCCACATGTGCCTCTCTGTAGGGTTCTGTGAGTGTCCTAGTCAGATGGCAACTGGTTTCCTCAGAACGGAAGATGCAGGGGAACAAGGCAGAAGCCATAGTATATTTTATGGCCTAGCATTAAAAGTCACGCTTCACCATTTTCACAGTCTCCTATTAGTTACACTGGTCAGCCCAGCTCAGGGTGGGAGAGGACTAACGAGGGCATGGATGCCAGGGGTCAAGGAGCATTGAGGCTGACTCTCACGTGTCAAATGAGATAATACACGTAAAGGCCTTGTACCATGCCTGGGACGTGGTATATGCTCACAGTAAACATTAACCATCCGTAATAGGTGCCCCGGCTTTGCTCCAGGCATGTAGGATCTACAGAGCAACAGCTTTCATTCAGTCATTCAACAAACATTTACGGAGCTGCTCTGTATGCCAGGCACTATATTAGGAGCTTGGGACATGATCGTAAACAAAGCATAGTATGAAACTAACACAAACAGATCTAGAATGTTCTGCCAGGCAGTGCTAAGTGCTCTGAAGAACCACAAAGCCAGGTAAGGGGGCGAGAATGATGAGGGTGTAAGAGTTACGTCTCTCCCTATAAAGCTGGCACAGCAGTAGTGGGGGCGCAGATTTTGACCTTTGATAAAGCCCTCCCACACCTGTGAGGCCATCCTAGTCTCACAAGCGGGCAGAATTTATACCTGTTCTACACCTGGGCTGGCGTCAAACAGGCACAGAAGGGACTGAAATGAGCTCTGAGTCCCCAAGGAATCCGGATTTCTCCCAGTAAAGAGGTTCTTCAAATAGGATGCTCAGCAGCATCACTAGGACGCTTGTTAGGAAGCAGACCCCTGGGCATCTGACTCACTAGGTCTGGGCAGAGCCCAAGGACCTGCATTTTTAAGCAAGCACCCCAGGGGGTGATGCAGGGGTGCTGCATGAGGGCTTCGGTGGCTTCAGTGGCGCAGGGGAAGGCGGGCCTTCTCTGGCAAGTGTCAGATGAGGTTCCAGGTCCAGCCTCTAGGGACGGACAGGGCTTAGCCACACAGAAAGGAGGGAACGGACGGAGCCCAGAAACACCAAGCCTCTTGATTCAAGCGTATTGAGTTCTCAAGTACCACAGTGCCACCTTCCTTCCTCAGGTCACAGATATCTCTAATGTGACAGCAGGGACAACAGAGACAGAAAGACACAGGGGAGCTGGGTTCCTGCTAACAAGTCTGAGAGCTGAATCAACCATCCCTGAAGCCCACCCTACCTGTTGACTTCGTACTTTGTGTGAAATACATTGCCTTTATTTTTATTTTTAAAAGATTTTATTTCTAGAGAGAGGGAAGGGAGGAAGAAAGAGAGGGAGAGAAACATCAATGTGTGGTTGCCTCTCACGTGCCCCCAACCAGGGACCTGGCCTGCAACCCAGGCATGTGCCCTGAATGGGAATCAAACCGGCAACAGTTTGGTTTTCAGGCCAGAACTCGGCATTCAATCAACTGAGCCACACCAGCCAGGACTCCTCCTCCCCCTTCTTTTTTAAGCTTCTCTGACTCCGGGTTTCAGTTACTTGCAGGCAAAAGTTTTCCCAGTTGAGACACCACTGCCTCCAGAAGAAAGAGAGGGAGTGCAGAGGGCTTGCCGTGGGGCTGGTCTGGGGAAGCTGACAAGAGAGGATAGAAGAAATGTCTGGGAGAAATACAAGTATTCCATAACTCCTTTATTAGGCACAAAGTAAAAATATATACTCATGGTATACAAAATCTATAGTGCTGATGTGGGGTCCTAGACCCCAAATGTCCCCAGAACTGGGCTTAGGACTTGCCAGGGGGCAGACCCCACCTGCACCTGTCCCCCAGCTCCGGTGCTCAGGTCAGGGGCTGCTGCAGCAGACAGGCCTGGACCCTCGTTCCCAACCATTCTTTGAGTCAGATGAGGACCCGCCTCACAGTTTGCATGCTTTCCAGCCCAGACCCTGGGCTCAGGCCTGGACAGAGGATCCCGTGACCAGGAGGGCCCAGCGGCTGGCGCAGAATTCTCGGCATTGCCGGGGCTCTGGAGCCCTAAGTTGCAGGGGACGGGGGGCCTGAAGCCTTTGGCACAGGATGCTTCCCTTTCTCTGAAAGGTAGAAGATACAAAGGCAGCTGGGCTGTTTGTAGAGGCACTGTCCCAGGGCAGAGGTGCCGGGTGCCAGCACGAGTGGATGTCGTCACCTGCAGTAAGTGCACCCAGTCCAGTACAAGACAATGGCCTGTGGGCATGGAAAAGTACTATCAGCTCTGTGAGCAGGATATTGTCTCTTGGTCAGAGCTGTGTTCTCAGCACCTAGAACAGAGCACACAGGGAGCTCCCAAGAAAGACAGTCGAATGCGTGAGCCCGTGTGCACAGGTGTGCGATCCACACAGGCGTGAATACAGCATGCTCCACACACACCTCCTCTTTTCTCCCTCCTAGAAGGCACTTCAGGTTTGCCTCAGTCCAAAGAGGTAGGAGAGAGCCTGGGGATGCCCCAGACTCAGCCCACAGTTCACAGCGGAGAGTCTGCTAGGGTGGCCCTAGCCGTAGAGACACACCTCCCCTTCTCCCTCCTCTGCCTCCACTTCCTCCAGCCCTGGCCCTTCGGGGACCACCTGGTTAGCCTCCCAGAGGTGGGCTTGGGCCGGGACTGAGGGCGTCGGGCTCTCCTGCAGCCAGGGGTGCAGCAAGATGCCCGAGGCCATGAGCCTCTCAGCTGGCTCCCGACGAAGGAGGCAATGGACCAGGCAGCGGGCCGGGGCCGAGAGGCCCTGAGGCAGGGCGTAGGTCCCCCGGCGGATCTTGCTGAAGAGCAGGGCAGGCTCTGAGTCCTGGAAGGGGTAGTGGCCGGCCAGCATGGTGAAGAGCGCCACACCCAGGCTCCAGACATCCGCCGCCTTGCCTGAGTAGGACGCCCGTGAGCTGAGGATCTCGGGTCCCACGTAGGCTGGGCACGCGTGCTTGTCCCACAGGGTGTCATCCGGCCCGGTCAGCACACAGGCATCCTCCAGGTTCTCCAACACCAGCTTCGACCTGCCGCAGGGAGAGACACAGAGGTGTCAGCTCCTGCTGGAACCCCCAAGTCACCACCTCATACCATCACCCTGAATGTTACCCACTCCCCAAGTGCCCTCTGCTATCTGGCAGACTTGAGCCAGTTCTGTGTGGCTGGACGACTGAGCCCATTTTACAGATGAGGGAGACCTGGCTCCAAGAGGTCAAGCCGTTGCACAAGGTCACAGAGCAATTCAATTTGAACCAGGACTTTGAAAGGAACACATTTCCCAACGGTCCCTGGGGTGGGAGGTACTGAGGGCATTAAACATCTTGTAAAACAGATGCAAACTTATGGTCCAGGCAGGTAATAAAATGAGAGAAATAGGAAGTGGTGCTGGGACAAACATCTCAGCACAAACGCTGCCTAGAAAGGGTAATGTTAACAACATTACGGTCAATATTTATGAACTGCCCACTGGGCACCTAGCCCTGAGCTGGTACCTAGCGCGTCTCATTTCATCCTCACAGAACCTGTGAGAAACACACCCTTTTACATCCACAGGGTATGGGGCCGGGATGTGGATGTCAGCTCTTGCCCCCGACACCCAGTGCTAGGAACCGCTCACATGGTTCCCAAGGGGACCCCACATTTCTATGTTTCTCCAAGGGAAGCCAGAAATCATATTTTAACAAAGGAGTCCACATTTTGGAAATGCTGGCAACCTACTTCAATTGAAAACAAAATAAACATATATGTGGGGCACCCTGCCCCCCAAAAATGTGTAGCCCACCATTTGCAACTTCTGCTTTAAGCACCTCCCAGTGAGCACCTAGATTACTTTAATAACAACCATTCTATGCCCACTGCTATTCATTTTATTCCTATGACACCGCTTCCTAAGTGTTTGCTGGCATTTCACAGATGGTGACCAATGCTGCGAATTACGGCATGGGTTAGCGGGGGCACGGTGTGGGGGTTCGTGTCAGCATTATCGGCCCATTTTATAGATACAGAAGTCAAGGCTTAGGCAGGTGAAGCCACTGCTCAAGGCCAAACAACAGGTTAAAAAGTAGAATCAGGATTTGAACCCGGGTCTGTCTGACCCCTCAGCCCCTCTTCTACTGATAGTGCTTCTCAGACTATTGCCTTGAAAAGAGAAAGAAGCACTTTTTCACCTCTAGGAGGTCTGGGGGTGTTGTGCTCACCCTAAGCTCAAAATGATTTGAAGTTGTGCAATGGCTTAAAACTCATTATGAATTTCATATTCCACTTCTTACCAAAGGCATGTTTTGAGAGTATAAAACGCAGAAGGAAAGAAGGAATTAGAAAATCTCTCGTAGGCAAACATCACTGTAATAACTGCTACAGGGAAGATAGAAGGCTGCTCAAATTAGTGGGTGGAAGTTTGAAGAGAAATGGTATTGACACACAAAGCCTCAAAGCACCTTGAGGTACTTATTAATTACAAGGTATTACTCAAGGTATTTATTAATTACAAAGGTTAGGTTGGGAACCAAACAGTGGCAGACTCCACCGTAAGCAATGACTGAGGTTAATATCACAGTGATACATATCACCATCATGTATTTCCTGATACCGGGCACTGAGAAGGGCCCATCATCACTGCTGTGATATTCTTGCCAAAAATGTTTAACCTCAACTTAAGCGTAAGAAAACCATCAGTTGAATCCTAATTGGGGGCATTCGACAAAATAACTGACCCGTACTCTTTAAAAGTATCAAGATCAAGAAAGACAAGAAAAGACTGAGGACCTGCGTCAGCCTGGAGGAGGCCAAGGAGATGTGACCTGCGAATGCAGGGTGGAGACCTGGGCGGATCCCGGACAGAAGAAGGGCAGAGAGGGAAACTAGTAAAATCCGAACCAATCAGTGGTTAAGTTCATAGCACAACACCAAGGTTAATTTCCTGGTCGTGGTAGTTGTACTATAGTCGTGTAAGACATTAACCTTAGGGGGAACTGGGTCAAGGAAATACGGGAACACTTTGGACTATTTTTTGCAACTTTTCTGTAAGTCTAAAAGTATTTGAAAATAAAAAGTTTTTTAAAAGTTCAAGGGGGTCACATTCCTCCCCGCCCAAAGAATCTTGAAATGAAATCGATGTTCTTTATGGATGTTCATGACGACCATCCTGCATAGTCCCAGGAGTAGGTGAGGGGGGACAAGATGCCAGGTCCCTTTCTGTCCCCCACTCCAAAAATCACTGATTTTCAGTTTTACAGGAAAAGGGTCCTGTGTGGGGAACTCATTTTGGCTGTTGCCTGTGACCTTGAAGTCCTGGAACCATCTTGCCAATCCAGACCTTTCCCCTACCGATAGGGAATGTGAGGTCCAGAGACGCTGGGCCACCCAGAGAGAGCAAGGAACCCAGCCAGGCCTCCCCGCTCTCAAGCTCCGAGGGAATTAGGACCCTGGCTCTGGAGTCACATCTGGGTTCAAATCCCAGCTCTACTATTTATTTAGCTCTGGGATCTTGGGCCTTGCTGACCTTTCTGTGTCTCTGTTTCCTCACCTGTCGGGTGGAAGCAACAGTACCTACCTCGTTTTGTCAGGACCCAGGCCGAGTCAGACAGTGAAGCTCTGCCCTTCACCACCGTCCCTATTATCACAAAGGCCATGCTCCACCCCAAGGGGCTTCCAACAGGACTGGGTCAACTTTTTCCTGGGAACCAGGCAGTGGCACTAGTCCCGGCTTCTCCTCTTTTTGCGAAGGCTCCTTTGCCGTCCTGAGCTTCAGTTTCCCCATTACTACACATCTCCTGGGTGTGCCTGCGGGTGGGCTCTCTGTTGCCACACTCACCTCTCACAGTCAGTGAAGACAAAGCGCCGCAGCTTGAGGTCTCGCAGGACTAGACCATGCTGGTGACAGTGCGCCACGGCGGCGGCCATCTGGCGGAAGAACCCAGCGGCCTCAGGCTCAGGCAGGCGGCCGCGGCGCACCAGGCTGTGCAGGTCCCCGTGGGGCCGCGGGAAGAAGGCGTAAATGTGGCGTGTGTCCGCCAGGACCTCCACCGGCCGTGCCACGTGTCTATGAGGGGGCAGCCGCCAGTAGGGCTCCAGCACCGCCGAGGCCTCGCGGACCGGGTACACCTGTGGGTGGGGCAGGGCCGTGAGCGCGGGTGGGGCCCGCGTGGAGCCCAGGCTGGCCTTGGAAACAGTCACAGCCAACCCTTTAGACACTCCTGGGTGCTACACACTGTGTCAAGTGCTTCGGCAGCAAGCTACTACACCCTGACAAAGCGGAGAGGCCACAAAGCCATCAAGTGCTCTTTACGGCTTCCTTATATGGCCTTAAACTTAAGATAATTGAAAACTAACAGGTAACCCAAACAAAAATAACCCTGAAAGCAGGGAAGTCCAAAAGGGCGGATGATACAGAGGTAACTTCATGTCCATCATTACCGCCACCATAGCTTCCACTCTCTAGAATGGACGCTTGCCCACCCTTCATTCATTCCTACCTGCAACAGCCACTGGGTGCCCAGCTTGACTGACAGCCATGGTCCCTGCCCTCCTGGTGCCCACAGTCCAATACGGGACACAGTACACAGGCCCAAAAGCTAAATATTTATGCATACTAAGCAATCAACACCATTCTGATAAGCGTTGTAAAGGAGCCAAGAAGGACGCTGGAATACATCCTTCTTGGAAGAGGGCACCTATTTTAGAATGTGTGGTTCGAAAGGGACTCTGGGAAAGTGAGCTGAGTGATTCAGAAATGCCTGGGGGATAAGCTTTCCACATGGGGGCCACAGAGAGTGCAAAGGCCCTGCGGCAAGAAAGAGCTTGATCAGCTCTAGAAACACAACCAAAGATCAGCAGGGCTGCGCGGGGTCGGGGAGAGAAGGGAGGCAGGCAGGCGGTGAGAGTGGCTCAGCTTGTCAGGAAATGAGCTGGGGCTTTACGGCCTCAGAGCAGGAAGGTGATTCGTTGGGGGCCACATGGCTAGTCGGTGGCCCAGCTGGTATAAACCCTTTTTGCATGCTATTTGAGCAAATAAAAATACAGAATGCAATAGGTGTTTAATCCATTAGGAAAAAATTGTAAGCATATGTCTTAAAAAATAAAGGTGAGTGGCACGGAGGAAATAATCCAAAAACAGACTTTTCTGAGTTAGGGCGAGCACATCCCTGCCTCTGCGCATCTGCAGTTGACCTTCCTCCTGCCTGGATGCTCTTCCCTAAGAAAACCACAGGGCTGGTTCCCGAGTCACTGCTCAAATGTCACCTTCTCAAAGAGTCCTTCCCAGACCTCCCTTAGCTAAAAGCACACGCACCTCCTACCCTCCCTGTTCTCTCTCCCAGCTCCGAGCCTTTTCTCCATAGCACTTAGATCACCTGACATAAGTTTTACTGGCTCGCTTGTCCGAGTCCCTCACTAGAATGCAAGCTTGATGAAAGCAGAACTTTGTCTGTTTTTGAACCACAGCATGGTGCTTGCTGGTGCTCACTGGTTTGTTTAGTTAATGAATTAGGCAATGATTTACAGACAGGTTGTTTATCTTTCTATACGCTGATCAGAAAACCCTAGCCATGTGGAAATGGCAGGTCAACCCCCCCAGCTCATGCTGGTGTAGGGACAGGCACATCCCAGTAGACTCCCCTACATGTTTCTAAATAACTGGGGCCACATGAAAGCGTGTGGCTTCTGGTTCCCGCTTGCTTTGGCCGCTCCCCTCGGCATGGACTTGCCTCTCCAGTAGGAACAGCAAAGAGCCTGTGATGCTGCTGCAGGAAGGGGACCCAGAGTTCAGGGGCTCCTTAGAGCATCTAGGGCAGAGCACTGGGGACCTGCCTCAGGAAGCCCAGGGCCCTGGCAAAGCTGATGGCTGGACCGCATGTCCAGATGCGTCCTCCTGTCCTCTGTACCCCCATCGGCAGGAGCCGGAGCCAGCTGCTGCTGGTCCCAGTTGGGGGCTTAAGTCCTTTTGCTTCTCCGTGCATTCCCAAGGGATCCAGATCTCCTTCTGCCCCTCCCTATGTACCGGGCCTCTCCTGTCTCCCATACACCTGCCCTTGGAAAGCAAACCTGTCCTGCTCATGTCTGAACCACCTGTCCCAGCGTGGGGCACATGGCTCTGGGCTCCACCTGCCAGGGCCCAGTCTCAGCTCTGACACCTCCTGGCTCTGCCATGTGGCAAGTAACCACATCCTTTTGATCCTCAGTGTCCTGTATCTATAAAATGGGCCCAATAACCATAATGACCTCATAAAGTGTGTGAAGATTAGAAGACACTACGTACACTAAGCAGTCAGTGCCTGTTATTATACTTTCTCATCTCTGTCCTTTTGGGCTCTGACCTGCCAATGTCCTATTGAGCCTGATCCTCAGGGGGCCTTAGCTCTGCCCAGTCCCTGATTTCAGCCAAGAACCCTAGACCGTGCCCTAGGAAGCCAGGCCCAATGTTATGTGGATTCTTGCATGACCCTTCTACTCTCTTGACCTCAGTCTTTGTATTTGTAAAATGGCCACAGGGTAGGCTCAATGCCCTCTAGGGTCCCAGAAGTTCTGAGGTCTACCATAGCTCCTCTTCTCTTGTGCAAATATCTTCAGTGGCTCCCCACAGCCTTGGGAGGAGCCTAGGACTCCTTAGAACTTTCACAGGCCATGGCCTTCAGCCCCCACCTCCTGCCCGGACTGCACACCTTCTCCGCTCGGCCACTGGGAACGCCAAGCTCTCACGCCTCTAGGCCTCTCTGCACAGCTGTCTCCCGCCCAGCCCTCGCTTTTCCCACTCCTCCCTAGCAAACTCCTCAGTCTTTTTGGAAACCCCCTTGAATGGCTTCTCCCCTGTGCTCTCATGGCCCCTAAGCTCCACCCCTACAACATGTATCACGCTATGGGGGCCTAAGCTATGAATTCCCCAGGGCTGGGACCATCTGGTCTACCTCTCTGGTCTCAACCTAGCCTGGGGCTTGACAGAGAACTAGGGGCTCACTGGCCGCTTCCCCAGTACACACAGGACCGAGTGAATATAAGGACTCCTCAGCCCTGACCATCCTCTGCAGCCAAGGCTCTTTCCAGGCCCCTGGTGATGCTGAAGGAGAGCGGCCCCTGGGGCACCTACCTGGCAGGTGTATTCGGTGCCTGTGGGGCAGTGCAGGGCCCGGTAGGCCCGGCCGCCCTCCTCAGGCTCCTGGAGGACATAGGGCCCCAGGCAGGAGGCAGTGGCCACAGCAGGGGCACGGCCTGGAGCAGGAGGTGGTCTCAGGGGCAGTGGGCAGGGGGGCAGCTTGGGCTGGGGTCCACTTCGAGTTTGTTTCCGGGTGGGACATTCAGTGTCTAGGTCATCATCCAACTTTAACTTCTTCTTCCTGGAGGGAGCACCCATAGGAACCGCCGGACGGGTGGCTTGTGTCTAGAAAGAAGGAGAAGACACTAAAGTGAGGCTGTCCAGTGGCCACTGTCTTCCTCTGCTGGGAAGGCACACCCTGGACAGAGGGTGATTTGGCAGAATGCATTCAACTGAAACTGCACACACCCTTGACTGGGTGTCCTGCTTCTGTGACTTGTCCTCCAATTCAAATGCTCTTCTTCAGAGCCTTGAGTCTAAGAGCAAAAGGCCAGAAACACTCCCAGTGTCCAGCAGTAGGGGCTGGTTAAAACATCATGGTAGAGCCAGATAGTAGAATACTATACAGTTCTGAAAAAGGACCAGGAAGCTCTTGACCTATTCATGTAATGATACCAGTGCAAAGGTTATTACTGCAGCCCATGTGATAGATACAATTTAACATCCATCATCAGGACACTGGTTACCTAACTTATATTTCACCCATACATGGAACAACTGCACCCATTTAAAAGACTGAGTTAACTCTTTATATTGCTAATTGAAAAGATCTGCAGAGTGAACTATTAAGTGAAATAAGAGTGAAGTGGAAACACGCAGCTTGGTGGTTGGTGAAAGAAAGGAAGAGTGACTGCATGATATCCATTGAGTATTATAGGGTAGGCAGCTAGTACCCATGAGAGGGAGGGAAGGAGGGAGGGATGGAGTGGGGAAGGAGAGAGGAAGGATGATGAATAAATAAGGTATGTGCACTTGAGTACATACTGTGGAATGGATATATCATCAAGTGAACAAAGCAAGCTGCTGAACACTACACCTAAGATGATCTCATTTATGTAAAAAACCCCAGCAGCATACACTATGAGGTATCTCCATATTTATATAGCTATAGATTGGAAATGCACAGGAAAAGGTCTGGCAGGACCCAGACGAAAGTACTACACAGTAGCTCTTGGCCTCCTGGGAGACTCCTAGGAGAAAAAGGGATCTGGTCAGGAGGAAGTGAATTTTTGAGTTCAATATTTTAAAAATAAAGATTCTACATTCATTTACTGCTTGAGTATTTCAAAACAGGTAGAGTGGATTTCTTTTTTTCAGTTGTGAACTTTATCTAGAATTGCCTGGTGGCCCAGGAGCTACTAGAATCAGAGAGCCCACACGCAGAGTCATCCACTGCCAGCTCAGCTTCGTCATCAGGTGGGAAGTGAGGCAGGGAGGGGAGGTCTCGCAGAGGCCCCAAGACTTCATTCATTCAACAGTGAAGGAGGCCACCACCCTTGCAGCTGTGCAACTGGGTGTGGTGGGTAGAGGAACAGGCAATGACATGTCAGGGCAGAAAAGTTCTCTCCAGGACTCATCTGCCCATCCGTTCAGACTCCAGACGAGGGACGAAGAGATTCGGGTATGAGGTGTTAGAGGGAGAGAGACTTCACCCCAATTAAAGATCTTCTCAACAGTCTGAGGCAGGATTAATGGGGAAATATCAGAGTTGATTCTCAGACTGGCGCCCAACTCTCCAATCATGCTACTCCCAATGCACGGGCTGCCTTGGGAAGGAGGGAGGGGACCCCCACCTTGGGTGAAAGACCATAATCCTGTCGTGGTAAGACTGCGATGGGGGTGGCAGTCATCAAATATTCCCGGGATCTATTCCTGGCTGGCCCTTCCTGGCTGGGTGGCCCTGGGCAAGGCCTTCAACCTTCCTGAGCCTTAGTTCCTCCACAGGATGCGAAGTTCATAGGATTTTTGTGGTGAAGAAATTAAAACAAATACATCTTTAAAAAAAATAAATATAAAAATGTAAAGCCCCTGGTTGGTGTGGCTCAGTGGACCACACCACTGAGTGCCGACCTGAGAACTGGAGGGCTGCTGGTTCAGTTCCCTGCCAGGGCACATGCCTGGGTTGCTGTGGGTCCCCTGCTGGGGGCGTGTGAGAGGCAACCATGTATCTCTTGGGCATTGCTGTTTCTCTCTCTCCTTTTTTCCTTTTCTTCCTCTCTCTCTAAAGGTAAATAAATAAAATATTTTTTAAAAAATAAATAAATAAAAACAAAAAATAAAGTTGCATGGCCGTGTTACAGGACCCTGTATCAGGAAATGGTCTCTACTGTTTATTATTATTATTATTATTATTATTATTATTATTATTATTATTCATAGCTGAGGATAGGTTAAGTGCTACCCCTGGGAGTCTCAGAAATCTCCCTAGGGATGAGGCTAGGAGGACATTGCTTATCTCATGGGCGTTTCCGAGTCAAGCAAGATGATCCCTGGCTGTGTAGATGCTTTGTGCCCTGTGAAGCAGAGACACCCTGGCTTGGTTTTGGGGCGGGAGTTGGGGGGATGGAGGGGTGGGGTAGGGGCGGTGGTTTGTACAGCACTCAGGTTACCTTGACACTATTCATGCCTGAGCCTGGTGCGGCCTGAGATACCCCATCCCATTGGACTAGGGATTTTGCAGGCAACACTGAGGGAGTTCCACTGCAGGATGCAGGCAGCCTCTAATCCCTGCCACCCTGATGCCGGTGTGGGGGGCGGGGGGTGGTGGTAAGGGCGGGTCATACCAAACACACACAACAGGGGAGACAGGTGTACACATGCCCCTCAAAAACACACTTTGTCCAAGCCAGCCAGCCAAGACACATATCCACAGAAGCGCACACATCATTAAGTGACACGCACGTCTCTCTCCCTGGCCACGCTTGCACGTACACACACACACACAGCTTTCCCACCTATCACACTCAGGACTGCACGACTGATACCAAAGGTTGCACACAGTCTGTGACCCACCCACCGCCACCTCCCCCTCCTTTTACCCGCCCCAGGCTCCGCCCGCAGCCAGGCTCCTCCCTCGGGAGCGGAAGCTTTTGCGCCGGGTGTCCGGAGGAACCGAGGGTCGGAGGGAGGCTCGGAGCGAGTGAGTCCAAGGGAAGGAGGCTGGGCCCCAGGGCTGTGAGAAGGGGCGGGCCTGGGCCCTCCCCTCCCCCTCCCTGTCTGTAAGTAAGACACACACCGTCTCCAGGACCCAAACACGCGCGCGCACAACGCAACGTGCAGACCCGTAGCCGCACCGCTAGGTGCACACCGGCGGCGGACGCCTGCCACTCCTCGGGGTTCTGCGTCCCGCGCACTGCACCCGCGTTCCCACGCGCCCGGCACGGGTTCCTGCCCGGGTTCCTGCCCCCCGGGCAGCCCAGCCCTCCGCACAGCCAACACCGGCTACCAGGTATTCGGCCATCCCCGCAGCTCGCACCGTCCACGGAGACGCAGAGCCCCGAGACATATCCCCACCCTGACCCCACAGGCTCACGCGGACCCCTGCAGACGCACCCCCACAGTGACACAGTCCTCCAATGTCCCCCACAGTCCCTCACACACAGACCTCCTCGCACCAAACCACACGACTCTCCTGCCTCATACTCACCCAAAGGGGCCACAGTTGGACAACTCAGTGTCCGACTCTCTCCGCCCCCCGACCCCCAACCCCGGGACACAGATCCCACACCCGGGGCGCTCCGCCTCTCCCCAGTCGGAGTTGGCCACACTCGGGCGACCCCAAGCTCTGCGGAGCCGCAGCACCTGAGACCCGGCAGATACACTAGGCTCAGGTTGCCACCCCTACCAGCCGGTTTGTTAAAAGTTTGTGAGTGTGTGTGTGTGTGTGTGTGTGTCCCGCCCCCGGCCCTCTGCCCGGTACCTTGCCCTCCTGCCGCCGCCTCAGCTCCGAGTCGCCGGGACACCCCTGGTGGACTGGGGCCCGCTCCGCTGCGGCTGAGCTCGGTGCCCGTCGGAGCTCTGGCCTCGACACCCTACAGCCCGACGCGTACGGAGCCGCCGCCGCTTCTAGGCAAATGTCCCGGAGGCGCCGGACGCCAGGCTTCGTTGGGCTGCTGGCTGGGTGATGCAAACCTGAGCTAATCGTTCGCGGCCTGATGCGCTCAAGCAGAGGATTGCACCATCCGTCCCCAGCGCTCCGCCCCCCCCGGGTCACGCCCGCGCTCGCGGCCTCGGCCCCTCCCGCACCGCTCCGGCTTTGGCCCGGGGCACCACCTGCCTCGCCGGCCCTCGCGGGGTGTCTCGTCTCCAGCCACTTCCCCTCCCGCCCCGCGCCCACGTTTGAGCGTAGACACCAGCCACTGACTCCCGCTATCATCTTGGAAAAAGTATTTTGCTTTTCTGAGCGTTAGTTTCCTCACCTGTGAAATGGGAAGAACGTCGTTGATTCTCAAGATGGTGCTGAGGAGGCAAAGAGGAAACCGTGAGAGTCTCCCGGGTGTTTGCCGTTTGTAAGGCACTTTCCCACCATTGCTTTATTTAACCTTCAGAGAACCCGTGGCAGGCAGGAAGTTCCTGTATCCCCGTTCTACTAAGGTGCGGCACGAGGCTCAGCTATGGGAAAGCAGCCCAGGAACTTCGCAAAAACCACAGACTTACAGGAGCTGACTCTGGGCTCAAAAGAGCCAGTGTAGTGCCCTGGGGAAGCATGAAGTTGGGTGGGCCCTCACAGCGTCCACTTGATAGAGGCAGTGCAGCCTATTGGTTAAGAGTAAGCACCCTGAAAGCAGCCTGCCTAAGAGTGCACCCTACCTCTGCCCAGACCCACTGTGCTACCTCAGAAAACCTACTTAAAACCTGCTTCAGTTTCCTCCTCTATAAAATGGGCTTATAAATAGTACAGCACTCATTTCATAGGGTTGTTGCTTGAATTAAGTTAATCCATGTAAAATGCTTAGAATAGTGTGTAGCACACTGTAGGCGCTCCGTAAAAAATGTGGGCACGATGGAGGCTCAGAGAGGGGAAGGCACCTGTAACAGAACTTGCACCCCAGGAATGGCAGGCCACAGTGGCGCTTGCTGTTTGGCGAAATGTCCCTGGGCAGCCTAGCACCAAGCACCTTTCAATGAAACTCCTTTTTAGGTCTTGATGTTGAAATATACCAGGTCAAAAACAAACAACAAAAAAACCCCACCTCCTCAGGCAGAGGTTGAATGGGAGGCCAAGGGAGTCACCTTTGTTTCCCTGCTTCCAGAACCCCAGGGACCAGCTCACCTGTGTCTCAGAGCCTTCAGGGAACAGCAGGGGATTCTGGGATCTCATTTAACCTTGAAGATTCCCTTGCCTGGGAGGGAAAAATGAATTCATTTTCTACACCAAGACACCTAGACTCAGGTTAGAAGGTCTCACAGCTCTAAGGGGCAAAACAAGACAGGGATGGTTGTCTTCTGAGCAGGTCTATGTGGCTGGCACCCTGCTGGGTTTATTCCTAACCTTTTGCTTCATGCTGTGTCATGTTCTGAATGTAGCAGACTCATGAGTGACAAGACTGACCTATCCCTGTCCTCACAGATTCTATAAATCAGTGGGGAGACAAGCCATTATCAAGAAAAGAAAATCAACAAACCAAGGTCATTTAAAATAGATTGCAGGTGTTATGTAGGGTCTTGAGACCCTAAAATAGGATAGATTTGTTCTCTATCAAATATGCCTGGGGTTGGATATTTTCAGTAGGAATCATTAGGAAGGTGATGCTTAAAGTAGAATCTTATGGAAGAAAAGGGAAGACAAGTGCGAAGGTGTGAGGGGAAACAGAGGGAAATGTAAGTGCAAAGGCCCTGAGGCCCTTCAGGAACTGTGAGAGGGACACTGTCACCTCCATTCTATGGATAAGTCAAGGGGGGAATTACCCAAGACCACCCAGCTTGTTGTATGAGATGGTTTGGATTTCAAGCTGGCGCTACAGACCCATGGCCCACACTGGCAAGGGGCATCTCACAAGCCAGCAGCCTCCGTCACACTTGCGGGTATGTTCTCCGGAACACTCTGGGCTTGGTCCCCAAGTCTGAGTCCCTTGTCACAGCTGGGGATGTCAAATCTCAGTTCTCTGGATCAGCATGTTCCAATGGAACGTAGCATGAGCTACATGTCTAGTTTCAGATTTTCTAGTCGTACATTACAGAAGACTAAAAAGAAACAGGTGAAATCAATTTTAATAATATATTCTATTTAATCCAATACAGCTAGCATGTCATCAGTTCAACAGATACAAAAATTATGAATGAGATAACCTAATTTTTTCATGTTAATATCTTCAAAATCTGGTGTATATTTTACATTTAGTTTGGACACAAATCAGCATGGAAGCCAAATTGTCGATGGTTAAAGTGAAATGTTGTCTACCAAAATAATTAGGTTAAGTTGTATTTAATGGAAAAAGTATTTAACCTGTTTTAAAATTAAAATTCAATAAAACATAAAATTCATTTCCTTGGTCACACTAGCTACATTTTTAATGTGCAATAGCCACATGTGCTGTATTGAATAGCACAACCCCAGACGAAGAATTCCTGACATGTGCCAGGGTGTAAGGCGAAAAAGTGAAGAGTCTGTCGGATCTACAACATAAATGCAAAATAGCCTTGCGCCACAGTTTCTGCATCCATAGAATGCAATTAATTATGCCTTCCTTGCATTAGTCCTAAGGATTAAATGCAGCGAGGCAGCTGCATGTTAGAGTCACACCGCATTTCCTGGGTTCAAATCTTACCAACTCCAAGTGCTGAGATTTTGGGTAAATTAATTAAGCTCTCTGTGCTTCAGTTTCCTCATGGTTAAAATGGGACTAGAAATAGTACCTACCTCATTGGTTTGTCATGAGGATTAAATAAGGTAATTTTGAAGTGCCTGGAATATAACTGCTATATAAGAATTTGCTAAAAAGCAAGAAATAAATGGTGACCGACACCTCCCCCCCGCCTCGCCAAACAAATTAAATGTAAAAACGTGCACTTTCCTGGAGAGAGAGCTCTGCTGTCATAAATTCGCTTCTCTCCAGGCGCAGAACACCTGCTGCCCACGTGTCTGAGCCACGCAGGCTGCACTTCTACTTGCTGTAGCTGTACTTCTACTTGCTGTAGCTGTACGGAGCCCAGACTCTGACCCTTGCTGAGGGCAGGAAGTCAGAGGGCTGGGATCCCAGGGAGGGTGGGGCTGGGGGGTCGGAGGGCCTGCTATGATAGGAGCAAGCCTGCGTCCTTCCATTCCACTCAGGTGTCGCTGGTGACTGCTATGTGCCTGAAATCCCATGACTGGTGTCTTTAAATTTTTATCTTTATAAGTTCTCCCCACTAAAGGGAAATGATGCTTTGGAACGAGTTCTGGTTAGAGTCTAGGTCTGGCTGAAGCCACCGACCCTGTGAGATTGTAGACAAATCACCTCTTCTTTTTGGGGCCTTGGTTTTCTTATACGTAAGATAGGAACAGAGAGTTGGATTAGGTCAGCGTTTTCCAAGATATGATATGTACAGCAATGGTAGATGCCAGATGGTTTTAGGGTCTCTGAACTCTATTACGTAACATTGAATCATATCGTGATGTGCATATTTCCTTTTGATTTTCTTCCTGTTCCTCCAGTTACTTGGGGGGGATCTCTTTTCACAGTTTCTGTATCTTTAATACCTAATATATTAAGGAAAAAAAGCAGGACTTAGCTCAAAGTAATCACAAGAAATGGGATTTAACTAGAACTTAAGAATCTTGTTTTGTTTTCCTGGTATTTAATTTTACAGTTGCCTCACCTTTACGGCAAATAATAGTGACTTTCCATTTCAGGTCAGTAATTAAAAATTTCCCTTTTAGGGGTGGGAGGGGCTGGGGAGAGCAATGGGGGGAAAATTGGGACATGTGTAATTGCACAACAGTAAAAAAATAAATAAAATAATTCCATTTTAAATAAATTTTGAAATGAGTTGATCGGAAGAAGATTATAGAACTAATAAATGGATTTGGGAAAGGTGGCAGGTGACTCAATAGTTGCAGCTCTAGCTCTGCTCCTCTTGGGGAGCCCTTAATAGGAGCCTGGGCACCTCCTCCTTCTCTAGGGTCTCCCAGGGGCTTTGCAGGAACCCTTCGTCATCTGAATCTGGCTCAGGCTGGGCCCTGGGGAAGGCAGGCAGGCCGGTGTGGGGGCAGCATCAACCCAGTGGTAGCCCAGTGGCAGCCATAGCCCTGCTGGGTGGTCTTGCTCCGTCTGCCCTGTGAGCCTGGGTTTTCTTTGCAAAGAACGTAATTCTTGTGCCCATGGATTCAGTATGGGCCTTTGTGGGTGCTTTCCTTACATCATTTCACTGCATCCTCCGGACCTCCCCACCAAGCTGCTGTTTTCATCCCTGGAGGAAGATGAGGAAACTGGGGCGCAGAGAGCTGACCTCACTGGCCTGCGGAGCGAGGCAGGCAATGGGATTAGACAACCAGTTGGTCTCACTCAAAGCCGGGGTGGTCTTTGTTGGCTGCTTTATGCCACCTCCTTGGCCTGAACTACTTATATGACACTGAACAAGTCACTAAGCTGTAACAGTGGGAATTTGTAACGCACCCCACCATTCTTTTGACATTGTTTCTGTAAGTGCTGAGACTAATGAATGTGTGACTTGTAGATGAAGAGCAGGTTTGTACAAGAATCCCAGGAACTAACTTCAAAAGATACAGACGCCAACTTTCAGGCATCCCAGCTTCAGGAGATTTGCTGACCTTCAACTGTGGAGCCAGCATGACGTAAAGTCAGGATGTCTAAACCAGAATGTTGTGCACTGGACCATCATTTGCCTTATTGCAATGGACTGTGCTAGTCTGCATGTAGAGAACTTTTCAACCCCCTTCCTTGATCTCTTTGTTCTGTTCCCCTCACCCTCCTTATAAAAACGTCTGCCTCCACTGAGATGGGGCAATGGGCTTTGTGACATGAGCCCCCCATCTTCCAGGCTGCCGCCACCTGAAAATAAACCACTTTCCTTTACATCAGCGCCTGCCTCTTGAGTATTGGCTTTTGCAGCAGCAGGCAGCCAGAATTCTTTTCAATTAGTTTATGGTGACTCCAAACGGGACTATGGGGGCCCCAGTCCTTGCAAGGCATCAACTGCCTTTAAATGCTTTGCTGGTGAAAGGAAAAGGGTTGTTGGTGGACTGAGGAGCCCAAACTGGGTCAAGTCCCTGGTGTGCACAACCAGAAGCCCCGGCCCCATCGCTTGGGTTCTGTGAACCATTTGGGATTCTGTAGGAATCAATAGGCGCCGCTCATCAGTAGGCACAGCTCAGTGACAAGAAAAAAAAAATCCCAGTTCCCCACTATAGGATTTGGTTGGAGTGCTCTTTTGGTTTTGGTTGGGTATTGTTTGCTTTTCCTGTTTCATATGGCTTTTTGATTATCTATTAGTTTTGGTTTTCTGTTTTTCTGTGGGAGGAATTCTGCTTCTGTTTGAGAGCTCTCTCTGTTTCTCTCCTCTGCCTGAAATGAAATTTTGGTTACCGTTTTTTGCTAGCTTTCTTGTCTTTTAGGGACTTGGTTTGATCTTCGCTGTTTTGTATGCACCGGGAATCCTCTGTCTCTGCCATTAGGGCTTCGTGCCATTTGGACCTCGTGGGGGTCGTTCGCAGTACTGGTTGGTGTGAGATAAGATTCTAAGACTAGCCCCAGTTCCTCCTTTTAGAGGATTTAATTTGAGAATACTCATTTGTTTGAACTTTGTCTTTTGCTTTAGGTTTTGTTTTGGTTTCTGTTTTGAAAGGAACGTTTGATCTCAATCTCAAATCGTTTTGCCAAAGGTCTGGTAAATGGGATATGGTCTATTATGTGTAAGCTTTTGTGGTGTTACATCATAAGGATTCTACTCAGGAAGGATTTCAACTGATGGTTTAAAGAGTGGAAAAGATCTCACTCCCCTTTCAGACAGTGAAAATCAGAAAGAAAAGGAAAAGGAAAAAAAAGGGCATTTTAAAGTTAAGCTGCTAAAGCCATGTCAAGCCTGGTCTCCCCCACCCCGCTTTGCCAGCCTCCTAAAAGCTGTCGAGGTCAGTAGATACTCTATTTTGCCATGTATAATGTGCACCCACATTTTTGGCCCAAACTTTCAAGAAAAAAATCTTCCATTTTAATTTTTTAATTCAATTTTTTATTTATTTATATTTAGACACATGTTTTTTGTATTATAAAGGAATTTTTGCACTTATTTGTGAACATATGGATATTGTTGCTTTCTAGAGTAATGCTTTTAATGCATAAACATAAATAAAATAATTAAAAATATTTATATAGATATGGAATTAGTACTACCCATTTATAATGTGCATCCTTATTTTTCCCTCAGGATTTTGGGCAAAAGAGTGAGCATTGTACACGACAAAATATGGTTATCGAACAGCTTACTTTTGAGCACGCTAAAGGAATGCAGTAATCAACAGGAATCCAAATGAGTAGTTTAACTCTGGATAATGTCTTTTAAACTTATTAACATAAAA